GGCCCTTCTAGCGTACCGCTCATGTGTAGCGGCTGTTGTGGCTCTATTGTTTGGAACGGCTCTGGACGCCTTGTCTCACTCTATACTGCTCTTGTTGCTCGCCCTGCAGACGGTCGTTGTAATTGCGACGGCTGTGGTACTTGCGGTGGCTGTTGTAATTGCGGCGGTTGTTGTAATTGCGGCAGTTGTTGTACTTGCGGTGGTTGTTGTACAGCTGGATAGACTGTGTGCTGAGTGTCCTGTTGGCGTTTATTGCTCTGCTGGCGCTGGTACGCTTCGGACTGTTGGTCGAATTTCATGGCTCGAAACTCTGCTGGTTCCCATTCAAGAGTATTCTCTATACCTAGAATGTTGTAGAGAGAGTCCGCCACCCTGGCGTGATTGTTGCCAGTGTATACTCCCCGGTGTCGTAGCACACTCTTAAGAGACCTTAGTGTACCACGCTCAACCTTGCTAAATAGCTCCTTCGTCCATCCTTCAAAGTCCCATTTGTAGTCAATGAAGAGGTCATCGTCCCAGGCCATTGACACATTGTAGTCGTGGATAGCTTTAGCGACCCACGTTGTTGCGTGTGTCTCATTTGCGTCCGCCGGTGCGGGTACACCCCAGAGAGCTGTATTGATGACCTTGAGTGCAACTGTGTATGGACAGTTTTCCATAAGTTGTTCCGCGGTAAATTTGGCCCATGGTGAGTCTGAGAGGTGTTCTGATTGCTCATTCTGTAGTTGATTCTGAGCTTCAGCAGAGTCTGCAGAGCTTATTTCGCTTTGGTTATCCGCCATCTTGCTAGCGGGTGTTGACGCGTTGTCGGTGTTGTTGTCTCGCTGGTTGGTCGTGCCAGCGCTTGTTGTTGTACGTGATCGGATCGTCCGGAGACGCTCGTACGGTTGAGTTGTATTGCGTTGCTGACGCGCTCTGTGTTCGCGGATTAAGCTAAACCAGCAGCTGTAGAGGGAGGTTAAGAGTGCTTTGTGTTATCTCTGCCTCGCTCTGTTCTTAGCACAGAATCTTCTCCCGGGAGTATAACGTCGTGCGTCAGGGAGTTCGTCGAAGATGCGGTCTGTCTCTTCTACCTTGCTGTCTGTGATCGCCTTAAGCAATCACTGATCAGTGTTGGAAGGTCTATAGCACTAGTGCTGAAAGGAAATAACGATAACTAGGAATGCATTCTGTTCGGTGATGGTGATTGATTGTCTACGAACATAGCTGCTACGAAGGTATACCTAAGCTCTGCGCAAGGTGGGCCGAAGTCGGGCCGAAGTGTCCAGCAGCCGACGTCTCTACCGATACTCACGATCCGACAACTACAATCTACGTAAACATTATAAATTTATGGTCTCTTTTCTCTATTGTTCTTGATGACTCTGTGCCTCTTACTTCCCTTCTGTGTTCTGTCTGTCTGCCTTTGTGCTTTGTGTCTTTTGCACAATATCGTTGGCCCTTTTCGTTACGGGATGGAATGGCCTCATATTTCATGTCTCTTGGCTCGCGTATTGAATTTGCGCATCAGCTGGTGGTTGCAATGTAAATGAGTTGGTAGGCGTTAGACGTGAGTGTGTTAAATATACATTGATTCGCTGCTGGCTTGTGTGTCGGTATGCGATTACACCTTTCTCTCTCTTTTGTATTATTATTATCACTATGCTTATTACTCAACTACCCCTTTCTACAATTTTATCTCGTGTAACTATCTCTATTCTACATCTCTCCATCTCGCATCTCACCATCCCTTATCTCCCCTCATCCATCAACACCCAACCCTGAAGGTCTAGCCCAAGTTCAATCCCAAGTCCAAGTTATCGTAACGCCCCTTACACATCCGCTCCTAAGCCACAGCTACCAATTGTAGTTAGCTTACTATCTCACTGCTTAAACAGAGCAAAATATTACGAGACATGAACTTTAGCACTATTCGAATTTGAAATTTTAGTGGAGACTTTTAATCCCGGATCAGGGTCCACTTGTAGCTGTAATCTTTTACTTTTCGTTCAAGAGTGGAAATTCAAGGTCTTCTGTGGGAGAGTATCCTGTTAAGTCTAGAAGCGACCAAAAGACTCCGGTTCTTGGATATACGAAAACATTACGAGACAGGATTTTAGCACTATTTGATATCGGAAACGACATTACTACTTTCTCTCGCTAGATCGCATCTGTATTTTTTAGCTATCTTGTCATTTACTTCGCATTTCGCGTAAGGTGTCTGAATTCAAACTGGTAGAGAAGTTTAGCATAGTGGCAGGGACTGCGCTTGTAAGAAATTTACGACGTAAGTAATCATCGAGGGACTTTTTTGAGTATAGTGTGTTCGGTGTCTTATATATCGTATCTAGTTCAGCTCTGCACAGAAGCTGTGTTTTTGTTTTTATCGTAACGCTATCTTGCACAGGCTAGGGGTTCTTTCTCTTTGTTCGAAAATATGCTGCTACTATTACTCGCTGAGCTAAACACATAGGGGGTTCTCTAAAAAAAAAGGAGGAAAGAAGGAAAAGAAGCCGGTACCATCCTCAACCAGTATCGACCAGAGTCATAACGGATTTGCTGCATCGGGGTAATATTTGGAAGTCTTTTGGTTGTACTAACTCGTAGAATGTTCTAAAATACATTAGGTTAGACATAACGTGTCTGTGCGCGTGATGCCCATAATCGCGTGCCGCACACCCCGCAACATTAACACCAATCCACCCTTACCACTTCAACCACCCATAACTCCACAACCATGAGTTGTATCAACGCTGCGATTGAAGCTATTGAATCGCGTGATCCCGGAGATAAATTTACATACTCTGAGGTTGCGCGCCGCTTTGGTGTTGATCGCTCTACGTTGTCGCGACGCCATCAACAGATCCGGGGCTCAAATGAAGCCAAATCACGTAATCAGCAACTCCTTCACCCACACCAGGAGCTACAGCTTCTAGAGCACATTGACGAGCTTACTGAGGCTGGCTTACCACCGACGAGGACTATGATCCAGAACTTTGCTAGTGCTATAGCCGGAAGGGCTACCTCCCAAAGCTGGGTGACGCGCTTCTTTCACCGTCATCCCGACGCGATTATATCACGTTGGTCAACTGGTTTGGACCGCAATCGCCACCGGGCTGATTCTGTATACAAGTACGAGTCGTACTTTGATCTACTATCTACTAAAATGGCTCAGCACCATATTCGGGCGCAGGATGTATATAATATGGATGAGAAGGGATTCCTTATTGGAGTGACGGGGAGGAGTAAGAGAGTGTTTAGTAAGCAGAAATATGAGACTGGGGGCTTTAAGAAAGTGATACAGGACGGCAACAGAGATTGGATCACTGTTATCGCTGCTATATGTGCTGATGGGAGTACGTTACCGCCCGCGATTATATACGAAGCTACTTCGGGCAACATGTACGCCAGATGGGTTGATGATATCGCAATTGACGATCCAGTCTACGTTACCTCAAGTCCCTCAGGGTGGACCAATGATCAGGTAGGCCTGGCATGGCTCGAACAGGTGTTTGATCGCCATACGAAGGAGAAGGCCGGCAATCACACACGCTTACTCATCCTTGACGGCCATGGGAGTCACGTTACTATGGAGTTTATTGACTATGCGATCGCCCACAATATTATGTTACTCATACTACCCCCCCATAGTACCCATACGCTGCAGCCACTCGATGTGGTAATGTTCAAACCTCTGGCAGCCGCGTACTCACTCAGCTTGCAGCACTACCTCCAGGCGAGCCACGGTCTCTTAGCTGTGAGGAAGGATGACTTCTACCGTCTTTTCAAGCCTGCCTGGGACTCCTCTTTCATTAAGAAGCACGCGTTGAAGGCATTTAAAGCCACTGGGATAGCTCCTATAGATCCCGAAGTAGTACTTAAAAAGTTCCGAAAGTCAACACTAACAGCACCGCCGCCACTAGTGAACGTGAGTAGAGCTACTATCACGAACCTCATTAATCAGGCCTACGATCCGAGCTCTATTGCGACCAACAACCTCTCAGAAATACTCCTCCGCCTCCAGGCTGCCAAAGAGATCGCCGAGTACGAGAAGGACGCACTGCGCGCGGCGCTACACGTTCACCAGAAGCCCCGCAATCGGCACGAACCTCCCCTAGATCTACAGCAGCGAAAAGCGTTCCATTCAGGGGCAGTTTGGTGGTCGCCGTGCAAGCTTCGAGAGGCCCGCTTCAGGCAGCTAGTGAAGGAGAAGGAGAAGGAGAAAGAGCTACTTGATAAGATAGAGTTGAAAGAGGCAAAGGAGAACAACAGGATCTATCAACTTAAGATCAAAGAGGCAGCGCGGGCGGCGCGTGAGGAGGCAAAGAAGGTGCGGGATGAAGCCAAGGCTGTAAAGGCTGCCGAACTTGACGCCAAACGACGCGATCGCGACGCTGCAAAGGCTATACAACAACCCCAATCGGGCAAGCGTAAGGCTTCAAAGCCCGCTGCAAAGCAACAGCCAAAAAAACGACGCGTGGGTGGTGCTGGCGGTGGCACTCTGGCTGAGGTGGCTGCACCGGCTCCCCCACCAACAACCACCCGACGCGGCCGGGCCGTCAATACTCCGGCAAAATATAGATAGACAAAGTTGTAGAGCTACGTCTATAGATCAATACACCGGAAAATCTCGCGATAATAGTTATTGTACGTGGCTGCACAGCCTCAACTTTGCCGTCGTCGCGATATTGGTGGGGTGTGCGGCACGCGATTATGGGCATCACGCGCACAGACACGTTACAAGTAACTACCGCAGTACCCAACCTTGGCGTACCACACTGAAAAACCATCGAATTACATGACTTTCGTGAGCTCCACCAAGCTCCACCAAGCTTTTTCACGATTACCTTATAAACCATACATACGGATTATATTGAAAGATTCATGCTCATATTACTATTCATCTCATTACAGCGCATTAAAAGTCGTCACCTTCTTCCCCGTCTCTTGCCATCATGGTATCCATCCCACCCACCCCCTGTCCCTTCTCCCCCTTCCCTCTTTCTATTCCCTTGTTGCACTTAACCCATCATCGCAACCATCAAACCGCCAACCAATCCCACACCCATCAAGCCAGCATCCATCCTCGTTGCAGCACCAGTAAACATAGCTCCACCTCCGCTCATGGTCGCAGTTGGCATCATGCCACCCGACATGCTTACGATCATGGGCTTGGTCTCGTTTGCGCCGCCGGCGCACGACGGTACAGGGACGTCGGCACGAGATACTGATTCATCTGTTGGGGCAGGCGCGCAGTAGGGGGTAACGGTTATGGTTGTTGTTGGGGATTGGCTGGTGGATGTTAGTTTGGGGTTTGATATATTGATGGAGTTCAGGTTCTGGCAAAGGTGTTGTTGCTGTAAATGAGAGTTTGGGACATTTTTTTATAATAGAGGAAGAGCTACATTGGTTCAGAATAGAATGATATGTTGATGTAAATAAGGATGGTGTTATGAGTGCTTCGCGTTGTTTTGAGCAGGGAAATACAGTGACAATGCTATTCAAGGACGCAGAAAATGATCCACAGGTGAGAAGAGTGACAGATAGCGCAAGACATGAAGCGCAAGTGAGATGTAGAAAAGTAAACTTACGCAGCTACGGATCGGAAGACGGCGAATCCAATAGTGACGATGCTAGTGGAGAACTTCATGTTGTCGATGGGTATTACTTGGGTGAGGTGACGTAGATCTGTAGTGGTAGAAGGACGTGTGAATCACACGGTGTGATATCAACAGCGCCTGGACCAGAGATGGGTATCAAAGATATAAGACTTGTATAACTGAACAGTGCGTCGGTGTGCAGATAATTCGCAAGTAAGTGATCAGGTCCGTGCCTATAATCTTTCTCAGAAAGAGTGAAATAGTCCCAGACGAAGTAAGTAAGGCGAGAAGAGAACCCCAAACTGAAATACAGAAACATCCGTCGTCCTTTGTGCCCCCTATGCAAACTTCCACCAGATCCATCTAGCCCTTTTGCCATCACATCTCACAAAACTATACTAACCTACATACCAACGCCCGCTGCAAACGGCGCTACGCTTCCAGCCAATCCAAGTCCGGACGCTAGTCCCTAACCACCACCTCCCCCATTGTTCTCAAATCACACAGCAGTATACCGCGGTCCTATTTCTGCAGCCACATCTTCGGAATCAAGGCTTTCCGCTCTTGAGGAGGTGAAAAAGGCATGTCGCCCGCACGTGTGGATCGCCCCCTGTATCCAGTTCAGATATCTGCAGTATCTTCTACGTAGGACCCAGGCTTTCGGTGTAATCTCCAAGCCGTGCCGCAGCGTCGATCTCTAGGGCCTGACGACGGCTGATGGGCAAATGTGCTTGGGCAGCAGATGCATGTAGGCGCTTTTCTGGAAGCTACTACGAATTACCGTGCAGCAGGGGGTCGGGTGGCATGTTAGGACGGAGAAGGCGTGTCCCGGTAGTTGGAGTGGGGCTGCATTGGGTGTTGGATTTACGTAGATGGGGGATAGTGCGGTTGGTTTGGGATCGTAATGGTAATGGCTGTAGAATACGGAGATTGCCGGATGAACGGATTGGGTTTGGGTCAGAGGGTTGTATAATTTTGATGTTGGGTAATTGGCTGGATGTTCTTTTGCTATGGAATGCGCTGTGATACGTACTTACGGCCGAAGAACAGGGGTGTGGTTTGGTACGTACCTGGCCTGTCATGATCTGTAGAAGTTAGTTGGACACTATTTTGGGTCTGACATGAAGAGATCGTGTTACCTGTCAGTCGAGATGATCATTGCGATGGACGGTGATAGTTACACATGGTCACCGAACAGAGAGAAAGGCAGAGTCTACCGTGACTACCCAGGCAAAGTCACCTCACGATGCCCATTACGCCCATCGCTAAACCTACACCTCAACTCACAATCCCGCCCCATCACCCTTTCCAATCTCTCCACCCACTCGCCAAACAGAAAAAAGTAAGCCCCGACCGGAACGTCTTCCATCCACGATCAACGATCCCCACAATTCTTTGTAATAAAGCTCCGTCCCCAAACAAGCACATCACGCTCTCCCGATGCAGCGCCGCCAAAGCTTCAGTTGTAAACAACTCACCTGCCCTGACTAAGATGACGATCATGTTCTCAATGTAACCTAGCAGTTACTATTTCCAGAGTGCCCCTGCACTACTCTCCCGCCATTATTGGCCGGCGCCCCTCACTAGCGTACTTTCCCATCGTGTCCGGATGGTAAGCCATCCGTGGAGCGCTAGCCCAACACAGCAACGATGGAATTGAACAACGAACCGCGTCTGTCTGCGGGGGAACAACGCCTCCTCCGTCAACGACGACAATCTCTCCATTGCGGTAACCCTCGTAGCGCGCCCTCCGCATGCGGGACAGGAGAAGAGAGGAATGCGGGTTAGCGTGCACGACGTGACAGGCTGGCCATCGACTACCCTGGGCGAGATCGCGACGGCGGGAAAAGTAAGGTGAGGGTTAGTTCGGAAGGGCAAGACTCCGTTCGTTTAGACAAGTGCTGGTGCAATGGGGTGCAGCTATGTTCGTGGTTAGGGCCGAGTCGGGCGGCGGTGGATGTTGAGGATGATATGATGATGGTGAGATTGAGCAATACGGGCGGGGGCCACAGGTGGGAGAGGGGTCGGAAGAGAAGCTATCGAAGGACAATGCGCCCAAGGTATAAGAGAAAGGCTGTTTGCGTGAAGAGAAAGGCATCATCAAGGTCAACTACTTCCACACTCCCTCCAACAGACTTGATTACCTATCTCTACCTTTACATCGATCTTTAATACACACTTCTAATTCATAATGAAGTCCTCCATCTTGTCTGTCGCCGCTCTCGCTGCCGTCGGCTCGGCCTCGCCCATTGTCCAGCGTGCTGGTGTCAACATCACCGATGGCATCATCCTCAACTACGCGCTCACTCTCGAGCACCTCGAGGATGCCTTCTACCGCGAGGGCCTGAAGAAGTTCACAGCCAAGGACTTCGTTGCCGCAAACTTCACAGAGGAGACCTACATGCGCATCCAAACAATCTCAAAGGATGAGACTACCCACGTCGAGTTCCTGACTGGTGCCCTCAAGGCCGCCGGCATCCAGGCCACCGCTGAGTGCACCTACGACTTTGGCTACAAGGACGTCGCTGGCTTCATGGCCACAGCCTCTGTCCTTGAGGGCGTTGGTGCCAGCGCCTACACCGGTGCCGCTGCCCAAATCATGGGCAAGGTCTACTTGACCGCCGCGGCATCCATTCTATCCGTCGAGGCTCGCCACTCATCCTACATCCGCAACGCCATCAAGCAGGCGCCCTTCCCCTCTCCCTTTGAGGTCCCGCTCGACTTGAACGAGGTCTACACTCTTGCAGCCCCATTCATCAAGTCATGCCCCTCCACCAACCCCGCCCTTCCCGTCAAGGCTTTCCCCTCGCTCACCGCTGCCGGTATCAAGGGCGCTCAGATCGTGGCCGGAGGCAACATCATGGTTTCCACTCCTGGCTACGCCGTCGAGGGTGACGTCTACGCTGCTTTCATCACTGTCACTGGACCTGTCTTCACTCAAATCCAGAAGGCTGATGGTGGATACATCGTCACCGTCCCCAACAGCGGTATTGCCGGCCAGAGCTACCTTGTTCTTACTAGCTGCAACACCACTGTTACTGACGACGACACTATTGCCGGCCCCGCTCTGCTTGAGGTCTACTAAACGTTACGCTCTCAACGAATGGAATTGACGAAGCTCAAGCAATATGAAGAAGATGACGGCGTGTATTAGTACAATAAAATGTTGGTAATTTTTAGTTTTAATAAAATTGGGTCTATTGTGGATATCATTCCCTGCGTGCCGTGATGCCTTCTTCTCTTTCCCATTGCTACAAATACCACGCCCGCAAATGCCGATATCAAATCCATACCCCCGAAACTCAGAGTCCTTCTCATCATTGCCTTACGGGACCCCACTCACACTCTGATCGCAAACACCAAAGCTCAATTAGTCTAACTACATCGCACACACAACAGGTGTAATAGCCACAGATACATTATGCCAACAGCGATCTAAACCATGCAACACCTCTGGCAACCAGATATATCCACGATTTAATCGATAAACTGTTGGTAGGCCTTGTACGATCGTACGGGGTGAATAACAACAACGAGGTTCTTTTGGTGACTGGTATTGGTATTGTCTCTCTACGAACATAGGTGCTACGAAGGTATACCTAAGCTCTGCGCAAGGTGGGCCGAAGTCGGGCCGAAGTGTCAAGCAGCCGACGTCTCTACCGATACTCACGATCCGACATAAACAATAGTTATAATTAAACCCAATATGACTTAAAGAAGACGAACCGTCTTTAAGCTATAGCTCTGTGACTAACCGAGACTGCTTCCTAGGACTGATCGCCCGTTGTACAATTGAATGACTCTGCTCTTGTCTTTCTCTGGGAAGAAAAATGATTGATCTAGCCTATATACCTACTCTACCATAGCCCTCTAATCCTCCCTCTCTCCATTTCTCTTCTTCCCATCCCCATCCACGAAGAAATCTCAGCATCCATCTTACCCTGTAAAACTTACCTCTCCATCTACGCCTTCTCTTTTTCCTCCCTCTGCGTTCCTATCCACGAAACCCTGCCATCTCACCCCTGCTTCTCTCCTCCTCCCTCCCCCTTCTACATCCCTACCCATGAAAGCCCTTTCATCTCACTCCTCCCTCCCCCTCATCCACTCTACAAAAAACCTCTCCTCCACGTACAAAGAGAAGAAATACCAAAAAAGAAAAGAAAAGAGGCGAAATAAACCTACATGTTGTTTTCACATCGTAATCCACTCTGTATGCGTACCTCATCTCTACAGGTGTAGGCAGAAGGTTTTGTGGAGATAGATAGAAAGGATTGGTTGGTTCAATGAGGTGTGGGCTGGATGGTGCAGGATAGCTTAGGTATGCGTGGATAGATAAGATTGAATTAATACAGATAGAGAGGGATGGTGTAGTCGAGATATGTGTGGTACCAGCCACGAACTAAAGAGTTTACCATGTCAATACTAAGATTTAGAGCCATAGAATAGAGAGATGGATAAATAGTACGCATACAGACGACACAGTAATAAACATCTAAACATTCCATTCACCAACCGAACCCCATGTTTCTTTGCCCAAACATGCACTACAATCAATTCATCCATGAATCCACGTAAACTAAAAACGGCGTCTTAAGAACCAGCACAGCCAGTCTTCTGCCAGTATATATATACAAAATACTTCTTCTTCCTCCCTATCCCCACTCTTCACCTTCATCCCCGTTCACCGTTCCCTTCCCCTCGTCAACCCCTCATCCTCATTCCATCCATCCAAATTACACACACACACACACACACATGCCAACATCACCATCAATCAACCGACATCATCTCTTAAACCGAAAATAAGCCCCCATCTCCCATGGGTAATACCATAGATGCGCAACCCCAGGTTATCCCACGACCAAAATGCCGTTATGCGGAAGATGAGGACGAAGAAAGAGAGCCAGCAGAAAAATGCAGCAATACACGAAAAACGCGTCCTTCCCCTCCCTGCTATCCGATTCCCAGCTGTAGGTTTGTACAAAAAAGAAACGTGGAACTAATCCTTGGTTCGATTTGAGGGTGGGTATGTTGGATGGATGGGATGATTTGACTGAAACGTTTGCCGTTGCCAGTCAAAAGTCGCTGCGGTGGATCGGCGGATCGGTGATGCGGTCGGGTAGGACGGACGGATAGCTTCGGTGAGTGGCAACCTCCTCGCCACCATGAACAATGCCACTAAACATCTCAAATCCCATGGATAAATCTTCCAGCAGTAGAAGCCAGTAGGTAGCACATGAAAAGCTTCGAACAGCTCGAAAGCTTGGAAAAAAAGAGAAAACGCCCGCCAACGCCATGCCATCATGCAATTCGCGAAAAACATTTCGTGTGGGGAATGAAATATCCGATATCGAAGACCAGAGCATACCAGCAAAAAGAGACGTGAGGAATCTTGTTTAAAAACATCCACACTGACACATTATATCCTTCCTTCCTTTCGTTCCTTCCTTCTTCAATTGGCGTACTTTGTCGGTAGCGATTGACCGCCGCAATCTGGAATCTTGAGACCGGGTTTGAGTTTGCGGTTGACATCCATGAGACCCCATTTGTCTTCCCATTCTTTGCCGGGAGTGTTGTATTGGATTTTCCATGGCTCGTCAAAGGCTGAGAACCTGTAGAGTGTGTTAGCCATGCTTTGTAAATGTAGAGGAGTATGAAATTAACGTACCAAAAGTACTCTGTGCCGTTCTTCAGACTCGGACAGACCCAGTCTTCCATGAATTGGTTCATCTCATCGATACCCGCAATTGATCCTACGGTACACTTCTCGGCGCCACCGCAGCCGGTACCACCTGCAGACGGCCAGCCAACCTCGGCAATGATTTGATGAATGCCAGACTGGGCGGCGGTGAGAGCGACGTCCTTGGTGAACCAAAAGTCCCAGGTCCATGCAGCTGCGTCCTTGGCTTGTACACCGGCGAAGAAAGGATGAACGTTGGACATGACAATGTCGACCTTGCTAGCCATATCCGCAGTCCAGTTGTCGCCGAGATCAGCCATGGCAACAGGAAGCTGACACTTGTGAGCAGTGATGTTCTTGCGGAAATCGCTAATGTGTCCAAGCAGCTCGGTTACGGACAAGTCCTTCCGGTAGAGTACTTCGTTACCAATGATGATTCCCTTGAAATAGTCGCAGCCATAGTCGTCGAGAATTTCCCATGTTTGGCGGATTTGTCGTTGCGTGGTTGTGTCGTTCTTGTCGAGCCAGACTCCCAACCATATCTTCATCGAGTCCTTGATTTGCAAGCGGTCAATGGAATGGATCAGCATCTGCGTCTGGTTGCAATCGGTACCGTACAAGCGGACTGAGTCGGTCAACTTGGACATGACAGCCAAGTCTCGTGTAATGTTGTTTTGTGATGGTCCGACGTGAAGACAGTCTGGGTATTGAGTGTTTAGTGGTGTGTAGTCCATGCCGGGGAAGACCTTGTGTAGGCCAGCAGTACTCATCAGAGCCTTGATCTCATCAGAATCCTTGCCAAGATCTTCCTTGTTATCTTTGCTAATGTCGTCAGCAGCTTGCTGAGCCTTGTCCGCCTTGTCGCCGCCGCCGCCGCCCTTGCCGACAGTGGCGCCAAGGACACCACCGAGGACGGCACCGGCGAGAATGAGAGTAATGATGGCAATAGCAATCCACATTCTCTTTTTCCGCTTCTTCAAGTCGTCTTCTGCTTTCCAACTTGCAATCTTCTCGGGCAGTAGTTCTCCGCTTCCATTGACTAGAGGCACGGCGTTGTATTTGCTTCCGTCTCGACCTGCGGCATAAGCACCAGCGCCGGCAGCTGCACCTGCGAGACCAGCAGCGCCATTGTTTATTGAGGAACCCGGCGAGCCATTGCGACTGCTACCGTCTCGTGAGCCTCCAAAGGGCGCAAATGACCGCCGCTTGTCCCGTGGAGTGTCGTGGTCGGGTCCCATTCCCCAGTCATCATCGTTATCAACTTCATTAGGGTTAATGTGGCCCATTTGCGGTGCAAGGTTCTGAGCGGACGAGGAGTAGCGATTGTAAGGTGTGTCGGCGTATGGAACGCCAGCGTGTGGTGTGTGAGGCATGCTCATCATTGAACTGTCACTCGAGTAGACGCCTGCGAGGGGTGCGCCGGAGCCGTACGAAGGACTCGAGTACATTGGTCGTGGATCGTGAAAGGGCGATGTTTGCGCGGATCGGTCTGGGACGCCCATGGGGAGTCCCCTTGCTGCCTGGATGCCACTTTCCCGTTGGTGCGCGCCTGCCACGCTCTGAGCAATACCATTGATGCCGCCGCCAGCAGCTGAGTCGCCCATGTTGTCTGAGCCTGGAGTGACGCCGGGAGGGGAGTAGTCGGAGTAGTTGTTCGGATCGGGGTACTGGGTCATTGCGACAGGAGTGCGATGGATTGGCGGCGGCGGCGGGTGGTCGTCTGAAGATGAAGCGGCTAACGGCCAGGCGTGGGGTTGTTGGTATGCCATTGCAACGTGCGCAGGCTTTTGCGGCTTTGGTGGCAGGCTTTTGCTGCCGCCGGCAAGAGGCAAAAACGAAGACGCTTGGCGAGCGACACTGCAAAGACGCTGGTTAGGCTTGCGCCGCTTTGCGCACTGCGGATCGATCAAAGGCGGACTATCACTGGGCCTGCCCTAGCGGATGCTCAGCAGCAGCGCAATTGGACGGCGTGCTTTGTGTTTTCTTCTTTGGACGCTCGTGGCTGTGACGTGCAAAACAAGCAGGTGCCAGGGTTGGGTAGGGTGGAGAGGTGGGTGTGGCAGAGAGGTTTGCTGGTTACAATCGACGCAGGTGTGTTAGTCGGGTAGGACGGCTGGCACGACAGAGGCTGACGGGTGCCATTGCTGGGCCCGCACCGCGCTAGCCTGCCTGCACATTCACCCAGGAAACGAGATGCACCAGCACGGGAGTAGTAAGGAACCCACTCTGACGTCCACCCATGCAGCCAACCTCATCCAGCCTCAACAGGTTTTGCAGAGATAACGCGAACCGCACCATGGCGGCTAGGCCCGATGCTGTCCCGAGTTCCCAACTGCAACCGTTGCGTATTGCCGCATCTTATCATGTGCTTTTCCCCTTTTCCGCATTCCTGAGTAATCACACTGAATCTTGTCGTGGATATGTCGACTCCTCATGCAGCATGCCTGGTCGCGCCTGCCAGGTTTCCAATCCTGGCATTGGCAGTCGGTCGTGCCTGCCGCAGTGCCCCAAGACAGGCAACCAAGGCAAGAGCCCCCCAGCAAAACGATCAAGCCACAGTGGGGGCTTGGCAGGCCAGACAGACGGGAAGCTGCAGCCCGCGCATGTGCCGTAACTGCTATATTCCAATCCAATCTCCCATATCTCGCATCGCGCACGCTGAACCTTCTTAATTGCCACGACCTGCGAGATCCACTCTGCCATGATAATTTTATTGTACCCGAGTACACAACCCAACTGCAACCGAGCCCGCAAACCGTTATTTCACACCGTGCACTCCCCCTTCGTTGGGCACGCCCATGCCGCGCCGCTCAGACTTAGGATGGATGATGATGATGATGACATGTCCAATCCTTCCACTTCCAGCTTCCGTCCCATCCCATCCTAGCCTGCCCCCCTCGTGTCATCCACTTACATACGCCTTTCCCACTACTGCACCAACTATTGATCGCGCGTAGCACAGCCCAGTCCAAACCTGCCTTTGTTTGTGTTCTTTTTTTGTCGCGCAAACCACTTTCCATTCGCCTTTTTTCACTCGTCACCGGACCACTGTCTCACTCATGCACGACATCGCTCGCCCTTGCCTTTTGCGACATGTGGCCGTAGTGAAACACGAACACCAGATCGTCGTGAGATCCGGCCTCATATCAGGTCCAAGAGTCGAGTAGTGCTCACTCTCCTCGGGCCTACCCCGCCCTCCGCCAGCGAATCGTTTGCCTCGCACCATACGAGAGCCGCGTCAGCGACATTATCATTCTACCGATCTTTTCAGCGAGATTAGCATGAGGCGCGTATCCGTCAACAACAACAACAACAACAACACACACTTGCCCAGCCTCGTTGCGTATTCTTTGGCTAGGATAATCGCCCGCCTTCGTCTGCAGTCTCTAGCAAGGCGTACCACGTCTCTGAATGGCTTAAACTTACATGTTATCGTCACAGATAAAGAAAAGGCTGGGATGGCTGGTCGCGCTTTGCGTTGGCACAGTTCAGAGTCTGCGCTATCCGTGCAACTCCGGTTCGCCAGCCTGGCGCTAGCTGCTTTCCCCCAACCCCACTAATTACCCTTCGTAGCATCACCATCTGCGACTGCTATTGTTGACTGCGAAACTGGCGCCAGTTGCTATATTCAGAATACAAAATAACCTGGACATGCATATATGACCGTCGTCTGCAGCCAAGTCAAGCAACGTAGAACTCTCTGTCTTTATTACGATTTTGTTTGCGTATGTGCATTCGTATGCGCATGCGCATGCTCGACGTCCAGAATGCTCAGGTGTGTGTACCAGGATTAACATGTGAGACCACACGTAGACAGCATCCAGTACCACCATCCAACCATCGAGCTGCCTCATTTTCCTCAAACCCCCACGGACGCGTCTTCTAGAGTTCGTCCCTCCGCCAATATTCCTTTTCCCGTTTCCGCGTTAATTCCTTCTTCCTCCTTCCCTGCCCTCCATCAAACACAGCCTACAAAAGACCCTGTTCCCCTCTCCTGCCTATCAAACGCCACATCGCCATTGACGTTGCCTAAGCTGCAGCGGCCTGGAAAAGCCGTACCGTGCCCACGGACATCTCCTTACCTAGTGATGATATTGCAATAAACCATCTACCCTTGAATTTCTCATCGAAATTTGAGTTATTTTTAGAGGCTGCTTCTTTCCCCCTTATTCAGCGAACTTCCATTACTTGTTCCACCCTGCCGTGGTTGTCGTGTTTCAGGGTCTGCTTGACCCTGCTCAGAACAGTTCGGTCGGATTTCTTACAGTTCAAGCGACACAATCCCATGAACGTGTGATCCGTCATCGCCACGTGCTTCCCCAGTTCCAATCATGCGTAGCACCAAAGCTAAATGAATCGTAGGCATTGTCGTACATGTCGATCCGGTAGTCCGAGTATCCTACCGCCAGGGCGGGGAAAGACGTAAGCCATGACGCTGCCTCGTTTGTACGGCTCGCTTCGGAATAGAAATGCAACGGCATGTAGGCTGATGCTCCTGTGGTGCTGGGTCGTATTGTTGCGTTGCTATCCAGATACGCTGATGGAGGGAGCGTACGTGGACGCTTTGTCGGCGGGGATGCGAGATATGGGCAATGTCCTGGGGGGTCGCGTCGATCGCCAGACTGAGATATCAACGGTTGGAGTAACCGGTCCACACAAGTTGCCAGAACCTGTCTGGCATGTTGATACATTTCGTAATGCTTGTCTGGTTGTGAGTGGGGTAATTGCACCCATTTGAGCGCCAGAGATAGGAAGAGGACCTCCTTCAAGTCGCTCGCTTGACGACCGATTCGATCAACAAAGTAGTCAACTGTCCTCTCCACTATCTTGACAAGAACATTCTCGTCATGTCCCCTTTCCCGGTAGGGTGTGCCCGTTGGTACAGGAATGCGGAACAACCTGATGAGTTGGCACATTGTGAGACCAGCCCATAGCAGGTCTACCTTCCAAAGGCCATTGAAAAAGTCTTTTCGCATCAGTGGTTTGCTAACGACCGGTGTCAGGTTCTTACTCATATGGAGATCGTTATATGAGAGTATAACCATGGTTGACTCAAGGCAGTGTCTCCGTATCTCTGCAAGTGCTGTGGTGTATGGTTGCTCCTTGAATAGCAGCGGCCTGTAAAGATACTGCAATGTTCTTTGGATGTGTAAATCGAGTTGAACGTGGTTTGAGAACAGATAACCATCACTGGGAGCCGATTGACTGTAGTGCAAGCAGAGTGCCGCTGGCTTACTCGATAAGCACTCCCCAATCTTTCGTCCTATTTCCAGGACGTCTTTCGTGTCAGGAGTGGACCGTTGAATAAGTGATACAGCTTTGATGCGACATGGAAGAGCGGCTGCAAGACAAACCTGGAACAGACTATCTGTAAGGTCGCTTAGTGGATGCGGTATTGGCAACGTCTTGGTGTGTTCGTCAAAGTCTTCGTCGTTGAGATTGGACGGTACCGGATGGTACGAATTCAGCTCGGGTACTATGAGGGGTAAGTCCACCAACATGGACGTTTGCAGGTCTACTTCAAGGACCGTTGCCCATAGCCGTCGCCGCATCTCCAGTTGGTACGGTGAGATATCTTTCATGCCTTTCGGATCCAAATGCAGGCCCATAAGCATGGCTGAGCGTACGATAGCTCCCGTATTACTCCACAGCTTTTCTGCGTTTGGTTCTCGGAAATGGCGCGAAGGCTGTAGGAGTATATCGACCTGGAGTGTTGATAGCTCAGTCCGCTGTTTACGATCAAGTCTATCGAGCCATGTCTGTACTAGGTCAAGTGCAGCCCCTCCCAGATAATTTATATGACTTTCATCATTGGGGGTTGCATCGTCAACGTGGTACGCTATGGTCAGGAGAGCAGTGAGTTGCGGAATGATGCTGGGTGAACACAGTTCCCAATTGTCGCTCAGCCATAGCTCTTCATACTGGCGCATAAAGGTTGGCCGGTGAAGAATACGCACGCAACACTCAAAAGACCGAAAGTATATCGTGACTAGCCTGTCACAGTATGATTTGGGCGGTAAATATTCCCAGAGTTTCCTCGACGCCTGCGAACAGTTGAAATTGCTAACGCTCCTGGGAGGGACCGGTATGGCACTGTACTTGGATTGTAGAAATTTGACTTGTTTTACATATGCCATCATCTGGTCATCCTCACCCATATCGTTGAGGAAGTCTCTAATCTCAACAAACTAAGCAATATTAGTTGGTTATTCAGCAGCGGTGACATTACTATCTTACCTGTTTGAGAAGCGTAATCCTGGAGTCTTCTCCGTAGCAGTCTGATTGGAAAGTCTGCGCCGTTTCAGTCCGAATAAGGGGTGGCAAACTGATCGGTAACTCGACGTGGGCAGTCTCTGAGCTCTTCCGTCCTAAGCTCACGCCAAGCAGTTCTTCGACTTTGGCCAATCTCTGCTGGAGGTCCTCGATTGGATTGATCTGGAAACTTTCGACGGAACTTGCTGACTGTGACAGATCTGGGCCGGAATTCGCCGGCATCTTGCCGACCCGATTGTAAACGCACATGTTCGCACTAGATGCTTTGACGCAGTTCTCGCATGGTGTCGTACGGTCGCATTTCAGCTTTTTTTCGCGACATCGTAGACAAGATACAACTGGTCGTGGGCGTCTTCGTGGGGTGTTGTCCTCCATTGCGCAAATCCTGGAACGTATTCCAGCCGTATTGTGGGTAACTGTGGGTAGCGGCCTTTATGGAGAACTGAGCGGGTACTAGAGGCTGGCTAAAAGGAGTTTTGCCAGGCTAGAACATGTTGAGAGGGCGAATTCGCACATGCCGAAAGGACCGAATGTTCCGATGAGAATAGGGCATACAGGTCCTGGGACTCGACATGTCAAATATCAAGATCAACCTCACGACTAGGGTGGGACAGACTAATGCCCATTTGCGGCACGGTAGGCCGCCTCATGCATGCCATGGCACATCGCACGTAAAACGAAGTCATCCCAACGGAGCACGGGACGGTTTCCAGTCACGTGAAACACCAACGCTTGGCCCGGATAGGTCAAGCGCGTACCACGTGACTGGAAACCGTTCTACTCCTGCACATTTGGTGATACCGGAAGTTGCTGCGATGGTGTGTAAGAGGAGGTCAAGTACACAAGTTCCAACGGCGGCGCCCTAGGATGTCACGAGAGGGCTTCTGAAATGAGATATGCTGCATCATCACTGACTCGAGAGATTCAAGCTTGCTTTCAGGACCAGATGCATGGTGTAAGCGTTGTGCGATGCCCTGTCTAGACAGTAGATCGTGGGCTTACGCACCATACTTTGTAGTGTTGGCTATATCTGCGGTATTTCTCAACGTTCCCTAACGTAACGAAACAAATGCTGTCTCTCTTCCCGTTCCTTTCTGACAGGCGCAGGGACCATGGTCCTTGATGGATAGTTAGTGCGCCAGATGGAGAGGGCAGGGGCTGCGACAGAGAAACTCGCCTACGCGACCTGGTAATATCATCGACGATCGCGCGAGTCGTTTGTACCTGTTTGTCCGGTCAATCAAACTCAGTTGGGTCAAGGTACATTGGGTATTACGGTCCGAGGTGTGAGGAGGTTGGCTGTGGATTCCGGATGAATCCACGTGGACCACGCTAACGGGGAAGCTACGACGGATCAAGCAGTCACTAAACCCTCACCGGCATCTCCACAACAACAGCCATCTCGCTCACACATTCGTAGTATTTTGCAGGGATACATATAGCAAGTGCCTGTTCTGGTACTTGTACACCTAGCAAATGCATGGAGAATGCAGGATGCGGAACCCGGGAAATCCTCTACCGATGAAACTGATTCAGGGCATGCTCGGATGCGGAAACCTCCACTGCATCGCACGAAAGCTCGCGGGCTAAAGCCCCCTCAAATCTCGTTGGTTCATCCCAGCTAACCCTCGTTTCCCCTCTCCATAGAATCTCTCCTTCCCTGTATGCAGCCAATACATCACTCCAGTGCCTGCAGCATCTCCCGTGTCGCGCTCAGACTCTTGCTGTCACCGTAGATGGCCGCGATCAGACTCCCATCGATCTTCGGAAACTCCCGCTGCAAGACCTCGACGTTGTCATCGTCGTCATCTTTCCTTCCCGCAGCCTCATAGCTCTGCATTACCTCAATCTGATGCGAGCGGTCCGCTCCAGTGGGAAGTGCCATCTCCGTGGCCGTGCGGCGGGGTGGCAGAACCGGCGGAGTCTCTTCCTGAGCAGAGAATGAGGACTGATAGGTAGGCTGTGAGGGTTGCTGCTGACTATGTGGTTCATAGGAGCTCTCATTATGCTGCGCTTGCATATATGGGTTATGAGATGATGCTTGGCCAGGCTCTTGGCTCCATGGGGACGTATCTTGGTGGTGAGGGGGGTATTGCGCGTACGGTTCCTGAGGAGGGTGCTGGCCTAATGGGTTTGGAGGGGGTTGCGTAGAGTATGTGTTTTGAGGTGGGTTCTGCTGAGGCTGGCTTTGGTACGCTTGGTACGGATTGTGACTCTGGTAGCTCTGGCCTTGTTCACTGCGCTGGTCTTCCCATGGGTTGTCGTGATTGGAGGCCATATTTGCGATGTCTGTTCTTGGTAGATGGTACTTAGGAGAATCGAAGTCTTAGGGCAGTCAAAAGACAGGCGACTTTGAGGCTGAGCTGCGGTCCAACGGATGACGTATCCCGCCGCGCGCACGGACCCCACAGCCCCGCTGCGCCCCGCGAGGTAGGAAGCAGCTGGACCCAAAAACAGTGACCCTGGCTCCTACCTTACATTCAGCTGGGCTATATCTCCAACAATTAGAGACATTCAATTTATCTTTTGTGATGCACATATTCTTGAATGCTTTCTGTATTCCCTTGACTTAGGTATCCTTTCACGCCATCCAAGGCAGCAATGTTGCACGACGTTGGTTTCGCTGCAAGTGGTAGCTCCTTGCATAATGCGAGTTATCACTTTGGATGTCTGATGTACTATAAATTTGACTTTGGAGTCGCAAGTTCCCGTAGATCAAGGCATGTCTGATAGCGAGAACCAAACAAATTATCTGCATCATGGCAACTAGTCTTCTATCGATTTTCATTCGAATCAGCCCATCATTGCCATCAGTGCACTCCATCATTCGGGGTATCGGTATAAAGATCCCATCATACATGGAAGACAGAAAGGACCAAGCCACCGTACGCACTAACGCAGCCAAAACGAGCGTTGAATGGAAGAAGAGAAAGGCAGAGACTATGGCAGCCAAACGGGCCGGTAAGACGGTAAAACTCACTATCATCATCACTAGCTACTGATGATATTGTGATCAGAGAAACAGAAAAGATGTGCTGAAGAAAGAGAGAGGAAGAAACAAAACAAGCCAACCAGGGATGAAAAGAAGCAGGAAAGAAACTCAAAGAAGAAAGAGAGAGAATTGAAGGATAGGAGGGCGAAATAAGGAAAAGGGATATATGTATCTGGTTCAGCGGTTGATGTCATTCGGCGCTTAGATGGAGGCAACGTGTTTGTCTTGCTCACAATTTCTACATGGATATTAGCTATGGTATCATTCAAGTCAGTCTCGCACGTGATATAGCAGTGATTTAGGGGCTGTAGTGGGTCCTTCCAGGAGATACTTTGCAAGGAACCATAATACTAAATCGCCAAGGAAAGACACATTCCAAATGATTATTTAAGCTTGCGTGAGTTGGCACAGGTTGTCTTGATTCAGACTTGATGGCTCCGGGACCTACATAATCAAAGCACTTGTTACTACATATATCATTACAGCTGATTCATTCCCTACTATCCATTGGCGTAGTGCCCAAACACCCAACCAGAAAATCGCCCCCGCACCAACCCCCCCATACAAACTCATAGGCACTTATATCGGCTCTTCTGTCTTGGCTCTCTTATCCGCCGCATCATCGTCGACCTCAAGTTTCCTCTTACTACCACCCACATCCTTTGCCTCTTCCACCACGGGCGCCTTGGCCTTCTTCTTCACCATACCCGACACGTCATTCGCGTTCTTCTTTGCCTCTGCGATTTTCGCCGCCTGTGTGACAGCATCTGCTCCTAGCATACCACCCAGGATGCCCTGGAATACTGAGGGGTCGATGCTGTCGAATGCCTGCTTTGTAGGATCGGCCTTGAGGTCCGCAACGCGTGTTTTGAGGTCCTCTAGCATACCCTTCTTGTCTTTGATGATTGCTTGTTTCTCCTTCTTCTGCTCTGGTGTTAATGCATCGGAAGCGAGGGCTGCTTCTTCCTTTTTTAGGCGAGCTTCAAGACTTTGGATGGCAAGGTCGGTTTGCTCGGCTGCTTCGTTGCGGAGATCCCAGTTTACACCGTCTTCATCCTCTTTGCCTTGTTTGGCATCTGCGTCTGTTTCTTCGGGCGCGGAGGCTGATTGCCCGGTTTGGTCTTGCCGCACTTTTGAGACGGAGGCGAATTCGAGGGCCAGTGACAGCGAGTAGTGTGCTTCTGTGACGTTTTCGTGCTCAAAGGGATATAGTTCTTGTTGGAGGGTGAGGGCGGCGCGGGCGTCGGATATGGCGTCGTGGAAGCGCTCGTTTTCGAGGGAGATTTCGACAAGGAAACCGTGGCAATCTGCGATGCGCTCTTTGAGAGTGCGCGCGCGGGGGCTGAGCTCTGCTTTCCCTTTGCCCTTGTCTGAAGCGCCGCTTTCTAGCGACTCCAATTGCTTCTCGTACAAGACGCGGGCGAGCTCAAAGATCTCGTATGCGTTGCCAAAGTCGTCGTCGTCCTCTTCTTGCTCTTCGTCCTCCATATCATCGTCTTCCTCCTCTGAGTCGGTCCAATTCTCGTCGCCTGTGAGCTGGAAGTAGGGCTTCGTCGCTGCTGACTCTTCCTTCTTCTCTGGCACGGGCGCCCTTGCACTTGAGCCTTCACCTGAGTCGTCCGTCTTGGTCGCCTTCTTTGCCTTGGGCTTCTTATTTTTCTTCTCTTCTTGCGCTACTTTGTTGCCCAGCACATCACTTTTGGCGACTGCGACCTTGTATAGCGCGCGCCCGTAGTAGAAGAGTAACTCGGCGTTCTCAGGCGCCATCTCGCCATTGAGTTCGGCCTGAATCTCGACAGCATTGGCGTAGTTTTCGGCGGCGGCGGGGAAGTTCTTGGTAGCGTAGTGAATTGAGGCAGCTTGCGATAACTCGTCCAGCTTCTCTTTGGTCCTAGGCAACTGTTCGGTTTCGGTCTCTGCGACGGTCGCGAGTGGTTCATTCGTGGGTTCGGCCATGATGAATGCTGTTTGATGATGGCCTTGTATATGTTTGTAATGCGACCGTGGTTTGCAAAGTTTGGGTCATGAATTGAGGTGTTGAGTGCTGGGCGCAGGTAGCCGTGTCCGTTGCTAGGAAAACTAGCGTGGTTAGCGTGACAGAGTCGCGTACCCTGGACCGCATCGCGCGTAAAGTGGAATCAATAGGAGCGACCACTTTGCGACACAACATACCCGCGCTCTCATACAGAACCGAAATGGCAACAGCAAGGCGACCAGAGAAGCCATCGGTGCCCTCAGACCTCATTCCATCCTCATCGCCGGCATTCGGAACACCAGTCCATCCCATCAATCCCCGCAGAACAGCCCCGATCAAGGCCCCGCCTGCACTCAAACCCGCCGCAAAGTCGACTGTCCTCCCTATTCTTCTTCCTCCAGCAACCCTACGGCCGCTAGCGTTTCGAACGTTCACCAAGAAGCATAACCTCACCCTCACATCTTCCGCTCTTCAAGCATTAGCAACCTTCATAGGGAAACACTGCGGCTCAGGATGGCGAGAAGAAGGCTTAGCAGAGAAGGTCCTGGAGGAAATTGCCAAAAGCTGGAAGAAATGCGGCGGCCAGGTCATTGTAGAGGGAGACAATGAGACGCTCAAGGGTATCCTCAAGACATTGGAAGGGTCAATGAGCGGTGGGAGAGTAGTCCAGGGCTCGAGTCTCGGCAGACAAAGCAGCTTCAACTTTGGGCCGGATATATCAGGACAGATGACTCGTCCGTCAATAGACAGTAACACAAGTTTTGGCATGTCGAATCTGCAAGTGGAGGACAAGGAAGAAGAGGAAGAAGTATCGAAAGATCCTCGAGACTGGATCAAGGTTATCGGGGCTTTTGAGCAGCCGAAATTAATATACAACTTCACCCAGAAGCATTTTGAGAAGTATGTCGACATATACTTGATTGAAGCACCTGCTAACCAATCTAGATCTGCTACGAAACCATCACTATTCCCTAATCCCTCGCACAAGACTGAGCTGTTTCGCCAACGCTACCATATCGTACATCAGCGCATACTCAGAAATGAGACATTCCAAGCACCGACCTTCTCGACCGCTCGTTCATCTACTTTGAATCGTACTGGATCGATTGCGACGTCTCAAATGAACTCAATTACCCCAATAGCCAATCTGCTTGGCCGAACTGGAAGCACACATTTGTTGTTAGGGATGCTTACAGTGTCAGCGACTGGTGCTCTGTCACTTTCTGATCTTACAGGTACAATTACCCTTGATATCCAACACGCACGTCCTATCCCGGAGAACGGCGCCTACTTCGCCCCGGGCATGATCGTCATAGTCGAAGGCAGCTACGAGGAAGACAGTGGGACAACGTCAACCCTAGGAGGCAATGGTGGTATCGGCGGCACGATAGGCGGCAAATTTCTCGCTTTTTCAGTTGGTCACCCGCCATGTGAACGACGTACAGCAACATTAGGTGGTGCCGAAGAAGTAGACAAGAACAGCCTTGCTGGACCGGCATTCGGTTGGACAGATTTCTTAGGTGTAGGATCACAACGTGCGACAGGAACTCGCATGAACAAGATAGCTGCGAAACTGCTCGACCCGGACCACGCACATAACGTTGTCATTGCATCAGATCTACATCTCGACGTCCCTTCTACCCTCTCCGCTCTTCGAACTCTTCTACGAACATACACCCCCGACCCAACAGACGCACATCCCGTATACCCCCTCGCCATCATCCTCATGGGCAACTTCAGCTCAAAAGCCAGTCTCGCAGGCGTACCCGGCACAAGCAGCATAGAATACAAGGAACATTTCGACGCCCTCGCCTCCGTCCTCGCAGACTTCCAACCCCTCATCGCACACACAACACTCGTCCTTGTTCCTGGCGATAACGACGCCTGGCCCAGTGCCTTCTCTGCCGGCGCCGCAACACCCTTACCCCGAAAGCAGATCCCCACAATGTTCACCTCGCGAATCCGGAAAGTAGTCGCAGAAGCAAATCGCGAGATCTGGGGCGCAGGTAAAGCCAAAGGCAAAGAGGGTGAGGTGATATGGACATCCAATCCCTCCCGTCTCAGCTGGTTTGGCGTAAAAGGTGAAATGGCAATCATACGAGACGACGTCGCCAGTCGTCTACAAAGAAACGCAATCAGGTTTAATAAACCGCCGCCCGATGTCGACGACGAAATGCCATATGCACCCAGCACGCAAGCGCAAGACGCAGCACAACAAGACGCCATGGACCTCGACCTACCCCGACCTCCTCCAAAACCCCAACCCCAACAAGACCCAATCGATCCCGACACGCAGATCGCCCGCGCCCTCACACGAACCATTCTCTCACAATCACATCTCAGCCCATATCCCTTTTCATCAAGACCGCTACATTGGGATTACGGTCATGTGCTAAATTTGTATCCGCTGCCGACGTGTTTAGTGCTTGCAGATAGTGGGGCGCCCAGTTTTGTGGTCAAGTATTTTGGGTGTACGGTACTAAATCCCGGAGCTATTGATGAGAGTGGGGGCCGCGGGAGGAGGGATAGGAGGGCGAGGTGGGTGGAGTTTGATGTTAGGGCTGGCACGGGGAGTGTAAGGTGTGAGGGATAGGGCGGTGTGGTGGGAAAGGAAGAGAGAGGGAGAGTCATGAGTAAGAGTTTGCGAATTTTTGGCAGAAGGTCATGGTATTATAAGACGTCATCCTGTGTACAGCAAGGCTTCGGACGGAAAACATGCAAAAATGTCGGATCACAGATATCAACGATATCTCAGCCACGCGATCGGCCGCACTGATCTCGGTCACGCGAGCAGGCGCACTGGCATCATTCACGCGGACAGGCGCACTGATCGCGGCGTCCGAGCAGCGCTCAGACCAGACCTCCTATATCTAGCTCTTCCATAGTTCTCCTTCGCAAGACAATCAATCAGAACCATCACCGAACAGAATGCATTCCTAGTTATCGTTATTTCCTTTCAGCACTAGTGCTACAGCCCTACCAACAAAAAATGCTTTTTGGTGTTCAGAAAGGACATACACTTGTTGTGCAGTATTTTTAAATTTTGAAAACGCGAAGCAGTTCATTGGCATGCAGAAAAGCGACAAACCAGTTAATTTTTTAAACACCCTTCGCCACGCACCCACATGCCAAGCAATACAAGCCCTTTTTTGTATAGCAGCGAGGAGTTCTCAGAACCACAGCACATAAGCTGCGTACTTGGAAGTTTTCAGAAAGGGAGGAGAGACACATAACTGTCTTTCCCCAGAATTTTTCAACCGGTCTGTGGTGTTATAAGAAAGAACTAGTACACTAGTACATTTTTATACTCCACTCGCCACCCACACCCACATTCTGATAGACGGCCCCAGTTTTATTTCGAAGAGCGGAGTGCTCGGAAGCACAATACATGCGCTGAATTTCTGATCGTTTCTGGAAAGGGAAGAAGGACATACAATGTTTTTGACGCCAGGTTTCATCTTTCCAATATACACCTTTGTTTTGCAAAAAGACAGGAAACAAGAGATACAGTAGTTTTTATAACACACAACCCCCGCGACACCACATGTCTCATTATCTGAGGAAGTTTTCTGTTTGTGAGTAATAGACCGAAGGCCAGGACACAGGCCACATTTTTCTGTCGGTATGTAAATTTTAGAGAAAGAAAAGAAAGCAGGCCAGAACACAACACACGGGGCCGTTCAGTACATCCTTTTTTGACAAACAATAGTCCAAAGACCGGAAAACTGGACACATATTTGTCCATGTAACGCCTTTAAAGAGAGAAGAAACCTATGAATTGAACAATCGTGTTTTTTGAGATTTTCTAGCAAGAAAGCAGGCAAGTTTGTGAGGAAAGAAAGAGAAAAGGTAGAAAGGCGGGTGGGTTTTATATGCTGTTGGTAGAGCGGTAGTAGGACAATGGCACGCAGCGAGGACGCCGCGCCGCCACATGTCGTGATGCTCTTGATTTTTGGAGAAATAGGTGGGGGTTGGCGCGGGGGAGAATGCAGCATGCAGCGTATACGGGATGATTTTAGACAGGAATATAACGCAGTCTGCGTCGCTTTTAGGTTCTGAGAAAGTGAGGATGTGATAAGGGGAAAGAGAGGAAGCAAGTAGTAAGTTTATATGGCGGCCACTGCACCGCCACATCGACTAGGGTCGTCAAACTTTTAGTAAAAGCTAGGAGTCTGGACAAGGCGACATGCAATTTTCGTTGCTACGTTTTAGAGAGGAAGAAACATGTTTATGCCTTGGTGGGTTTTTTGGATTTTGAAAGGAAGAGTGCAGAAGCTTTTTGGAGTAAAGAGAGCATGGAGAAAGAAGGAAAGAGAGGTAGTGGATTTGTATCGCTGCCACGGCGCCGCCACATGCGCGGCGGCTTCATCCATTTTCGAGTAATAGCTGAAAGTCTGGATAACGCAACATAACTTGCTGGCCTAAATCATTTTTGGAGGGAAGAAAACATGAAAAACCCAGCAGCAAATTTTCGATTGTCAAATTAAGAATGTAGAAGCTTCTCGAAGTAGCGGAAAGAAAGAAGGAAGGGAGGAGAGGCAGTGGATTTTATATGTCCTCTCCGGGGCACCACATATCCGAATACCTGGCGTGTTTTATTGTGTAGGAATAGGAGAAAGCCAGAAACACAGCATGTTGCTCTAGTTGGTGGTTGTTGTGGCAGAAAACATGGAAGTAAACCTTGCCGATTTCGAATTTAAGAAAACGCAAAGTAGTGACGGTAGGAGAGAAAGCGAAGAACGTGAGTAGGTTTTATACATCGCCGTCGGGCCACCACATTCGCGGTTGATGTTGCTTTTTATTGTGCAAGAGTAAGAGAGATCCGGGAGCACGGCATGAAGGTGTTGTTGGAGAATTTTGGATAGGAAGACATCAAACCCGACCTAGACGCTTTCGAAATTTAAGGTGGTGAGGTATTAACAATGTGAGAGAAAGGGTAGATGGTAGGTAGATTTTATATGTGAGCGTGGGGAGGGCATGACACATGAAGAGTGGTAAGACCTTTTTTGAGTAAGAAGAAGAAGAAGGCTGGGAACACAACATGTAATACCATGGTGGGTCTTTGAGAGAGGACGACATGAGGTACTTCCGTAGGTGTTTGAACATAGAAGGCAAAGTAAAGTAAAGCAGCGATGGTAGGAGAAAGAAAACGAGGAAAGGAGGTAGATTTTATATGTGCGCGCTGGGGCAGAGCACATAGATTTGGGACAAAGGGTTAAGTCAAATTAATGTTTTGGATAACAGCAAAAGTCCGCATATCTGCATTTCCCCGACTCTTTTGAGGAACAGAACATGGCACCTTCACGATGCTCATTTTAGTATTTTAGGATAAGTGGAGAAATATGACATTTTTCGAGAAGAACATAGAAGGCCGGTAGTAGGATTTCATATCCCGCCACTCAGAGGCCAGGCCACATGTGTTCCGTCTTTTCGGATTTGAATAGGCGGGGAAATTCAGGAACATCATGATAAATTACTGATGTGTCGGATCACAGATATCAACGATATCTCAGCCACGCGATCGGCCGCACTAATCTCGGTCACGCGAGCAGGCGCACTGATATCAGTCACGCGGACAGGCGCACTGATCGCGGCGTCCGAGCAGCGCTCAGACCAGACCTCCTATATCTAGCTCTTCCATAGTTCCCCTTCGCACGAGAATAAAATCAGAACCATCACCGAACAGAATGCATTCCTAGTTATCGTTATTTCCTTTCAGCACTAGTGCTACAGCCCTACCAACAGAGCCTCTCCTCCCAACTAACACTATCAAGAAGCCGGATGTGTGCCGCCCTCCAATTCCAACCTACTACATCCTATCTTCCTACATCATTCCCTACCTAATTCTAAATCCCTTCAACTCAAAGCTAAGTCTTTTCCTCTCACGACAGTAACTGCACTTATAAAATATAGATATTCTAAAGTCTTTCTCTTGTTAAGACTTGAACCAGAGTGCACATGTGTTGCCCGCCCCCCCAAGCCGCGATATAAGTACTATTCCCCTCCTTCTGCTTTCTTTTTTATCCTTACTACCTCTTCTACTTTATTACAAAAAATTACAATGTCCTGATATAAGATTCTTTATCAAAAAGACATCTGTTGGTAGGGCTGTAGCACTAGTGCTGAAAGGAAATAACGATAACTAGGAATGCATTCTGTTCGGTGATGGTTCTGATTGATTGTCTTGCGAAGGAGAACTATGGAAGAGCTAGATATAGGAGGTCTGGTCTGAGCGCTGCTCGGACGCCGCGATCAGTGCGCCTGTCCGCGTGAATGATGCCAGTGCGCCTGCTCGCGTGACCGAGATCAGTGCGGCCGATCGCGTGGCTGAGATATCGTTGATATCTGTGATCCGACAGGCTCAGAATACAATATGCTCTTTTAAACATTTCCCGACGAGAACAACATTGCTACACGTCCTACATTTTTGAGTTTGAAATTTCAGAGGAAGATATGGAGGGAGAGTGGTAGAGATACCGGAGTAAGAAGCAAATTCGAAGTGGGTTTCATAAGTGGTGGAGACGCTCTAGAGAATGTGACTCGGCCTTTGTATTACTGCGGGCAGACCTAAATCACAGCATCAACACAAACGTATGAGTTAGGGAAACTCAGACATTCAGTACATTTGAGACCATTTTATTTCCCCAAATTGCACTGTGATCTTCCTAAATAATTTAAATCTATCGGTACTGACAGTTTTTGTAGAGCCTAAAAGCGAGGTTTTTGAGGATAGAAGATGGAGGAGAAGAAAAAGCTGTGCTCTTTATACCCCGTCACGGCTAGAAAGTCAGACAACATAGCCTTTCGTTTGTTGTGTTTTGTTTCATGTGCAATAAAAAGTCCAAAATCACATATCTTATGAAAACTCAGGACTGCATTTTTAGGAGAAGCAGACATACTTCTGCAGGGTCATTATCTTGGATTTTCTCATAAAGAAGAGGATGCAGCAGCAAGCATAGAGGAGAGAGTAGATAGTAGACTTTATACTTCGTCGCCCCAAGGTCATACGCTCACTACCGCTGTAACCTTTGTCCCTAGCTTTCAGATGACTACGAGAATAGCTAAAAACGGAGCATCGACTGAGTTATGCCTAAATTTTAGGAGAAGAAGACATGCATAAGCTCTATGTTGATCTTCAAGATCCTAGAAAACGCCAAGAATGGTAAAAGATAGTTGGGAAAGAAGTAATTTCTAAGACCTGTCGCTGCAGGGTCACATTTGAAGCTAGACGCTCTGTTTTGAATGGCCACACAAAGAGCCGGAACGCAGAATGAGGGGTTTATCTATTGCTTTTAGAGAAGAAGAAGAAGAAGACATAGTTCTAATGTTGGACCATTTCAATGTCAGATGTCGCCAGGTTTTACTAGAGTTTTAGAGAAGCATAACAACACCCGTCGTGATAACTACAGTCAATTTAGAACGACATAAAAGCCATGCGCAGAGAAAAAGCAGAAATTGAAAGGTGTTAACCCCGTCATTTTGAATAAGCATACTTTAATAGGGTTAGGAACAGCGCAGCCGAGAAGCTACATTACGAGTGTAAATGTGTTTGGAAACGTCACGGCGTTTAGTCAAACATTCTCCGCAACTTGCTAATCTTTGATCAAGGAATAGCATGGATATGTGCACATTTGCAGTTTTTCAAGGTGCAGGCAACTTTTCATGCCATGGTGGTTAGGATGCTTTGTTGCTGGATAAGTTATATTACGGAGTAAAATGTAATTTGGGGGGAGAGACAGTGCGCCAACCATGAAGATATTGTGGTAAGTCTTTTGTAAAGTTAGAATTATCGTATCGATAGGAGAAGAATGGAGTTAGAAGAAAGACCCGGACTTTAATATCCTATTGAGTTTCTGGGTAGTCTCGCTAGCAGGGGAAAAGTATTGAGTAGGAGCACTTTTCGATTTCAAAGGAAGAAACAGCGCGCCAGCCATTTTACTAGTAGGTATTAGTTTGAAGAAGGCAGCTCTTTCGTCAATTTGAGTGGTGATATCAGGGAAGAAAAGGGTAAGTTTTTGTAGTCGGCATGGTAGTCAGTCACACATCGTGTAACGGTGGTATTTTGAATTTAGAGAAGACAGAAATCAGAAGTCCAGCCATACCTCGTTTTTGGCATGTTTTGAGAGCGATAGAAAAAGCCTTTGAGAATATAAAAGAGGTATTCAAGTACCAGAAAACCCAAAATCTTATGCGCCAGCCACACTAGTTTTCACAACAGCGCAGCCGGACGACTTATGCCACGTCGTTGTTCCAATTATAGAGAGCCCCACAACACTGGTCATGAACTCTACCACTGCGATCTTTTGATCAAATAAGAACGAAATAGTTTCTCAAGAATGGTGATACGGCAGGCCTTGATTTTCCACGGACCACTGCGCGCAAAATCATGTTAGAAATGAAGGTCGATTTTGAAAAAAGACAGAGCAGAGACGCCAGCCATCAGGCAGCACATCCATGAATTTTATAAATATAGGACCACCCCGTATGTAGAAGGAAAGGGAGAAAAGAAGATAAGAAGGAAGATTTATATACACCCCCAGGAGCCGGACAGTCCATGCCATATCGATGACTAGGTTTTAGGACCACCCCATATTCAGGTGGTTACGAATAGCAGTCTTAAAAGCTATCCGGCCTTCTCCACAGCGGCACAGTCATCCTATCTATAGCTTCCTCTTTTAGTATTTTCGGTGCTTATCTCATTTGCAGCGACGAGGAAGTTTTTGGAAAGGTAGGGAAGTAGAGTGGAGGATAGAGAGTGGGGTGAGAGGGGGGTATCTATATGAAAGACCCGTGCTTTGGGACGGTCCATCGGTCCATTTTGTTTCAGATTTAGCTAGGCTTTCTGGGAATGATGAGTAGAAAAGGCACGTGGAACGGCGTTGGAGGTTTCGATATGGTGGCTCACTTCTCATACCATGCAGTTATTTTATTTTTAAAGAACTGCCCGTTTTGATGTAGTGTGAAGTCAAAAATACAGGACGGCTCGGCAGTGTTTAAGGAATTTAACACGGCAGAGAAAGAGCATATGACGTGTTCTTCGCTTTCCTTTTAATCACGAAATGGTTCACCATATGTTTCTTGTGAAATACTCAGCAGTGTGGGGAACAGTGGGGAAATCATCATTTTTCACCTCTGGAGTTTGACTCTTCGCTCACTCTCATGCTTTATGATATGTGTGTTTTGAAAAGATCGCAAGTTCCACATGGAAAAAGAAATAAGAGGAACAGTGACATGAGAAAGTTTTTACTCATCCTGAGCAGGGACCGCACATCCGTCTTTAATCCATAAGTTTAAGATAGATAGAATCCTCGGAATCACTTCATCTTTTTCACAGATAACAGTAGTTTCAAGGAACCAGAAACCCTTCGTTGTGTTGAATCAAAAAATTTCCAGTCCTCCTAACCTCACTCTATCAATCCTATCTATAGATGCTTTAAGGAACGGTAATTTTCGAGTTTAAAAAAAAGAGAAGTAGAAAAAAATACGGGGCCAAAGCGTCCTCGGCCAAGAGTAGTAGCCGGGACAGCACTGGTCCAGCCCACCCATGTGTCAATTGACTATTTCTTTTGGAACAGGACATAGCCCTTGCCGATGGCATTTTTAAGATAGAGGTAGTAGAGCTTTTCAGAAGAAATCGGAAAAAATCCGGTCATATCGTGCTTCCGAATAAACTTTTGAAGACGACATGTGTTCGTATACATCTCTTTTAGAACTGAGAAAATAAGAATGATTTTGGAAGAGACAGAGCAGTCCACCAGGATCTTTTACAGAATTTCAAACAGCAGGGGCACTTTTAAGGATTTACAGGTGTTAAAGGGCAGGCTCAACCATTGGATAAAAGTAGTAGAATCTTTAGAACGGGACATGCCTTCGCTGCGTCATTTTGGAAAAATAGAGTAAAGGATGCATGGGAAGGTCGACAGAATCCACTCATCAAACTTCCTGATGATTTTTTGGTGAAAGAAGACATGTGTACTTCTAGTCGTCCATTTTGGAATCAAGGAAGAAGGTGTGGAAGGAGAGATAACGGAGGAGACGAGTGGGAGGTTTTGTAGGCACCCTACTAGCGCAGTCTGATGTATGTGTTTGAAACTGAACTCGTGCACCGTATGACCGGCTTCAAATAGCCGAGGCTGATGGTCATGGGGCATTCGCAGCATGACCATGTTGACTTTAGCGATGCGCAGCTTGGCTAAGCTGCTGCATTGCTCAGATTCAGACTAAACATCATGGCGCAACTTATCAAACGCTATGATACCTTGTTGATGCCTATCTAGCTTATGTCTTCTACGATCACTACTTGATGATGTATCGAAACTTCACAATATGCATATAGGGTATGGTCAATGAATTCTTGATGATCTGATTCTTATCATTGTAAATACTCAGCAGTCCGTGCAATGGCGGACAAGCTATGCCAGTCTCTCAAACAATGAGAACTCCTGTCAGTCTCTCAAAAACGGGAGTTCCTGCGACGAATCCCTCACTTCTTCGCCTCCTCATCATCGGTCGTGGATAGATCTGACAGAGTCCTGGCCAATCGATTGACGTTGGTACTTCCTCCATCTGGTGAGTCGGATCTAGCAGCACCACAAGGCGCTGTGGCTGTTCGATATGTCGTCGGGGTGGGGCGTCGTCTCGCCACGTGGAAGGCACCGCACTACGGCGGAGAGGTCTTGTGGCGCTGACCCGAGACGAGGAAGCACCCGGTGATGGAGCGGGACCAGTTTGACTAGGACGCGGCTTCTTGGGCTCCTCTCGGCTCAACACCGATGCAGCCCGTTTGGCATCTTCTGGCTGACCTGACTGACCTTACTGACCTTACTGACCTGACTGACCTGACTGACCTGACTGACCTGACTGACCTGACTGACCTGACTGACCTGACTGACCTGACTGACCTGACTGACCTGACTGACCTGACTGACCTGACTGACCTGACTGGCCTGGCCTCCCGAAAGGATCACGTGGAGCAGGCATCCGGAAGCGACCAAGCGTATTAGGCGTATTTACGGTTGGAGTTGGCGGCTTTTTGAGGCTACGGAGGCTTTCTGAGCGACGCAGCGAGTTTGCAGTGGGCTGGGAAAATAGGCCAGGCATTCGAGGTGTGGGAGCAGACCCCTGGGTCCCTCGGAAGGTGCTCGACAGAGCGCTGGTCGCTATATGCTTGCCCGACTCGGCCCCTGCTCCCGCAGCGGGCGTTACTGAGATCTTCAGACCCGAGGGCCTTGTCTTGCGATATGCGGGCGAAACCCGAAGATTTAGATCCAGGTGTTAGAAACGAAGGACGAGGTACGATCTTCTTTGGCACTGCTGCATCCGGTCTATCCACCTTAGTTTCTGCGTTGTCATCTGCCTCATCACTAGAATGTAGGCCTCATTCGTCTAATCATATTAGTAGTTGCTTGTAAATTGGGCGTCGGTATGACTTACGACGACTTCTTCCACCGACACCACTGACCTCTGGCTATCGTCCCATTTCACCCACCTTGACGAATCTTCAACATCTCTGGGGATGGTGTAGTAGTGCCCAGTGTCGACACCGATTCCTGAGCGATAAAAGACACCGTCTACCCGGTATTTGCCTGTTCCAGCAGAGGCTATGACTTCCGTCTCCCCTATTGGAAACTGGATGAGATTCGTCTTCTTGGCCTGGACTCCCTGACGGAATCTACACAATTGCACCAAAAAGAGGTTTGGTAGCGATAACGGTCGCTCTGTCACTTGGTGAGATTGGCCACTGCATTTCTGGCAGCTAAAACCTTCGGGCTCATTCCACTTATCGTATGGGAGCATGTCCTGGAGCTTCAGTAGGGCCTGTACCTTGTCCGGGATGAGGACTTTGATCATGTGTTCAACCTCTTTTTCACCACTAGCCATCTCCGCCTTGCAATGGGCGCACTTTCTGAACCGCTGCACGAACCAATCACGCAGATGGCTCTTGATGGGAGGGAACATGTGTTCAGCAAAGTAGTCGTAAAATTCCGCTGCGTCCTGCATGGTGCTTTCGTTGACGTCGAAACCTTGAGCACGGAGCCGTCTCGTCGGATTTGAGTCGTCATAATAATGAGCAGCTATCGTATTGAACACTTCAAGGAGTGGGGAAAACGAGTCAGCTCCGGATGATGGGCCAAGATTGAGCTGCGTGAACAGTCGAGCAACGGTCTCCTCGATCCCTGCTTTTGGTTGGACGCTGGCAAGGCAGCCACTGAAGCTTAGAGTCGTCCGCAATCCTTGAATTACAGCATTGGGTAGCAGGTATTCCCCGAATTCTTCAATCCTGTTGTCGTAGCACGTAGGTATCATGAGATACTTGACAGTGTGGGTAAGCTATAATAGGCCTGTCTGGCGACTACAGTGGCCCTTTCACACTGGTATGTCAAGTACGTTATGACACCCAGGTGGACTGGGATGGTAGTGCACGCTTTGTCGCTCTGCTCGGCGTGTAGGTACGATTGTCCAATTTGAGCTTTGTATAACCCATACTGCGGAAGCGTCTGGCCGTATTCGCCAACATGCTGGTCTTTGAGATCACGAGCGGTTGGGAGGCTGACTCCGGGTCATCTTCAGGCCAGTTTGGATCTTGGAACCGGGCCTTGGGTCCTGAGGCTTCTGCATGGTATCGCGCAAGCAAGCCTTCAACGACTGCCGGCAATCGGGACGCCTTCAGCACCCTATGGAGTACCGCTGACTGAAGTTGGAAGGCTCACCACCTGACAACTCGCCACGCGCGGATTGCCGATGCGGGCGACCATCTGATGCATTCTCCATGATTGGGGAAGTGCCTTGGCTTGTGTTAGCGCAATAGATTGCACGTCGGATCCCAATACGTACAAGCTGGGGTATGTTAACAGTCGGGTCGGTCGTGTGTTGAGTTTGCGGGTGTTGTGTGCAGAAGGTGGGGGAGAGCTGCGGAAGTTGGGGAGGAAATTTGTGACAGAGCAAACACATTCCATCGAATACGGTTAGCGTCTGTACAAAGCGATCGTGAAGTGAGCGTGAGTGGCGTGCCATTCTGTAAGCAGGCAAGTGCTGCACTGGCCCTGCCCTAAAAACACTAACCGAAACAGTTTGAGATCTTGATTTTCCTCTCATTCGCTGTGTCCACCTAGGAAGGCTCGAAGGACGGATAGTCTTCATGCATCATATGTCACTAGTCAAACACTTTCACGGGTCATGCGCGAAATAGTATCCAAGTGCATAGTCTACTGTAGTAGATAATGATATACGTTTCTCAGTTTGTAATAGTTGTTCGTAACATCGGATGGTGCTGGGAGAGGCACAAAATCCCAGATAGCTCCTAGCGTCATGAGCATAACCGTTTCCGTCACTGCAGCATTTCTGCTCCCTCATCGATAAGGCTGAGGACTCAGTATTGAAACTTATTACGTCCTAGTGTTGGGCACTATTAAGTAGGGAATAGATTGAGCTGCGCAAGTCATGCAGCGGTACTGAGAAGGGTCTACTGCGAAAGTGTGATAATGATCATGTGCTGAGCATATAGAGGAATGCTTCGTGCAGATATAGAGTGAGAGGAGATGGCAGGAGAGACACCAACTGCTCGATAGGGATATTTGACATCGAGTGAGAAGTGATTGTGCGTGTGACGTATCTAGAGTAGACACTCAGACACAGGAAGAGACTAAATACCGAGCTACCATGTCAGGTCGTAAGTTGCCAGTCGCCGGAAATTCAAGACAAAACTTTTGAGGATGTAAGAGCATAGCCCCTCCTAAGTGAAATGAGGGTCTGCGAGTTCAAATCGTAGAATGCAGTCGTGTCTAGGTAGTTCCGGGGATCACCAGCAACGATCGCTTGGTCTCTTGGTCGCACCCCTCAACATGTTAAAGCATGGGGCTGTTCCTCGCAAATTCTGAAAGGCAGACTCGATACCTTGATAATAGCATTAGCTTCTTGGAGAAGGAGGCACCGAGCTGTGCTGAGGTCAAGACACCGAGGAAGATATTCGCCGAAGGTGGGAGCATTCTGAGTCGTGGCAGCATGGTCAGATTAAGGTTTCAGAGCTCCCCTCCGCTCTTGCTTCCCCAGAGTCTGACAGGTCTATTAACGGCTTGACCATGCCCATATCGGTGATTGCTCCTTCTGCTCTCGTCGGAGCCCACGAGTGTGTTCAACGGGGTCAAGCCGAGCTAGCACATCTACAGACTAGCGCGCCGCTAAGTCTCGCTTATCCAGCAAAACACCAAAACCGAGTCCAATCTTCGTTTTCTCTTCTCAACCATCTGCTCCAGCCAGGACGACAAACCCCCTTTGTCTAGCCACGATGCAGATCTTCGTGAAGACCCTCACTGGCAAAACTATAACATTAGAATGTGAAAGCGCGGATACCATCGACAATGTGAAGTCCAAGATCCAAGGTTCGTGTCCTATGCGAAAAACGGCGAAAAACGATTGAGTTAACAAAAAACCAGACAAGGAGGGAATTCCCCCAGACCAACAGCGTCTCATCTTCGCCGGAAAGCAACTCGAAGATGGCCGCACCCTCTCCGACTACAACATCCAGAAGGAGTCCACTCTCCACCTGGTGCTCCGTCTGCGTGGAGGAGCCAAGAAGCGCAAGAAGAAGGTCTACACCACACCCAAGAAGATCAAGCACAAGCGCAAGAAGACCAAGCTAGCCGTCCTCAAGTACTACAAGGTCGACGGCGACGGCAAGATCGAGCGCCTTCGCCGCGAGTGCCCTCAGCCCGAGTGCGGTGCCGGTGTCTTCATGGCTGCCATGCACAACCGCCAGTACTGCGGAAAGTGCCACCTTACTTATGTCTTTGACGAGGCTAAATAAGCGTGCGCTTCACGACTACGACAACACCGGGGTTACGCGGGTTACGACGACATAGATGGATGGATGAGTTACGGCATCATGGGTCAAATGGGAGGAACGGGTTAGGTTTCGCCTGCATGTCGGACATTTAACATCAATCAATCAAATCATCACGGACTTGTCAACTACTCTTGCATGCGTGAAATGTCATGTCTTCGCTGATTCCCTCATTGCGCTGAACTGAATTTGCCCCGCCATCGTCCTGTCGCCACGGTCCGAGCGTCCCGCTGTATAATTCATGCGCCCAGACTGAACAATACATCGTCACACCCAATCCAATCAGACACTAATAGAGTTTAGATGCTTAATTTAGTCATGAGTGGAAAGCTACATACTCGCACGCTTGCCTGCTTTTCGTAATGGTAATTGTACAGTATATTAATTCTGAACAACGGTCATCTCGCCAATTCTCTAGTCACCCCTCAATCACTCTCAATCACGTCTACTTCCTGTTCGCCCTCTGCTCCTTGTCCGCCGTAGTCTGGCTAATGTCTAGACCCAAGCCCCTGCTGTCAAGGTAGACCTTGTTATTGCTCTGCTGCAGAATCTGGGCGATATTCCTGGCGTTCTCAAACTCCCTCAGATCGACATAACTCCTGCTCTTCTTGATGGCGTCACCAATCAGCTCGGCGGAACGAGCCTCACCCTGGGCGCGTACGACGGTGGCTTGCTTCTCCTGACGGGCCTTGTCGACGACGAAAGCAGCGCGCTGGGCTTCTTGCTGTGCGACTTGCTTGGCTTCTACTGCGGCGGTGAACTCGGGGGAGAAGGCGAGGTGCTGAGACATGTTAGATGGTGGCGGGGTAGGAGGGGGAATTACATACCGTCAGAGAAACATCATCAAGCATAATGTTGAATCGCGCTGCTCTCCGGACCAAGTTGTCACGTACGAGCCTACTGACATTCTCACGCTGTGTGATGAGCTGACTGGCATTGAATTGCGCCACCACACTCTTGAGCACCTCATTCACAATTGATGGCAAAACCCTCTCGTCATAGTCTGTGCCCAGTGTCCTGTAGATCTGCGGTAGAGCGTCGACTCGCGGTCTTGACAGTACACGGCAGGTTATGTTGACCATCTGCAAGTCTTTGGTGCCTGTGAGGGAAGCGACGTTTCGGGGTTTGGCGCGCACATCGTAGGTAATAGGAGTTTCGAACCAAGGGACCCGGAAATGCGTTCCTTCGTTGTAGATTTCCTTTTGGACTCCGCCTAGTCGAGTGTACTTGATTGCGCGATGTCCTCCGTCGACTGTCACGAGTTAACATCATTCATCCCAACATACAAACCAACCATACCGTTGAACAGGGCATTGTTCGCGGCCCAGATTCCTCCACCAACAAGAATCAATCCACCGATTGAACCAAACAGACCCTTTGGACCTCCGCCCCCGCCCGAACCTGCGTACTTTGCGCTTCGTCGTGAGAGCTCAGTCTGGAGGCGCGCCCAGGCTTCCTTTGGATCCGGTGCAGACATGTTGGCCGGGGGGAGAGCAAGTTGGCGTTTGGTGCGTGAGGCGTTTGGCGGCGACAATGGCGGACGGAGCTTGGTGATGAGGTAGACGACGATGGAGAAAATGGTCATCGGCGAATCACCACCCCCGACCCCAGGCAGGCGCCAAGACTAAAGTTCACATTGCGACGTTTGAATGACAGGCTTTCAAGTCACCTGTTCTTGCTTTTCAATCCCCTTGAAACAATCGCAGCCTAGATTGGATTGTCGTGAACATTCTCCAGTGCTTGTCGTTTCATTTCAAGTTGCGGTTTAGCATAGCTGTCGCAGTATGCTGGCGCATAGACCACCTAAGCAATGTAATATGTAGACCCGTCTAAAGCACAGCTGTCCATAAGCTCTCCCAATCTCGTCATTACTCTACTGCCCATCTGGTGGCACATCTTCCTTTCTTGTGCATGTCATCGTTTAGTGATACCCAATTGTTTCTTTTTAACCAAACAGACCACCTTGCGACTGTCGCGTGGAGCCTGGCGACGCTGGCGGAGCTACGAGTATAGAGTACAAGGTGGGTTTGGCTGTACGGATGAGGTTGCGCACGAGGCTGACTACATACAAGAGACTTGATCAGTTCAATACAGTTTGAAACACTGAGCAACATCCATTCACTCCTCTGAGCAACGCAATTGCCCCACCACCATGCACATCATGTCAAAACCGCTGCGGTTTGCCGCAATCTCCGCAATCGCATTCTCCACAGTACATGCCGTTCCGTATGTAATAGATAACCTCAGTTTCGGACACAAGGAAACTCTCTCACCCAACGGACGCGGGATCCCGCACTGGAACATTCAAGGCAACGAAGACTGGTTGCCCCAACTCTTCTCCGATCGAATCATTCTCACACCTCCATACCCCGGAAACAAGCGTGGATCGGTATGGACCGAAGACCCACTACATCACAAAGGCGACTGGGTGGCCGAAGTGCACTTTCGGGCCTCAGGACAAGAGCGTGGAGGTGGTAATTTGCAGATATGGTATACCAAGCAATCGCAGGCGCGTGAGCCACCAGCGAGCTTGTACACGACGCACAAGTTTGACGGGCTGGTATTGCTCGTCGACCAGTACGAAAACCACGGAGGATCTCTTCGCGGTTTCCTAAACGACGGAACCGTTGACATTGGAGCCCATCCCGACCCGGACACGCTGGCTTTTGGCAAGTGCGACTATGCCTACAGGAACCGTGGAGAGCTCACGCCGATCAAACTGCACCACGCAGAAGGCTTCCTCGAGGTCATTATCGACGGAGAGACATGCTTCAAGACAGACAAAGTACGTACCCCCACATTCTCATCCACCACAACTAACCCTCCCCAGGTGATCCTCCCAGAAGGCTACTACTTCGGCATCAGCGCCTCCTCGGCCGAAAACCCAGACTCCTTCGAAGTTCACAAATTCACAGTCTCCACCACCTACGACACCACACGCGAAGAGCCCAAAGACAAAGGCAAAGGCGACTACGCAAAAGCCTCACAACAACACCAACAAAACCTGGCCGCCCAACAAGCCCACGAGCAACAGCAACAGCAACAGCAAACCCAAAACCAGAACCAGAACCAGCAGCAATACAACGCCCACGTAAACGACATCCCCAAGATGCTCGAAGACGTCGTCGCCGCAAACATCCGCAGCCAACAAGACCAATTCGCCGACCTCCACAACCGCATCCAAATCATAAACAACCGCGTCTACGAAATCTACGAAACCGTCGAACTCATCCACAAGACAAACAACGACCGCTGGAACGACCTCATGACGCGTATTGTGCCCATTGACGACCGCGGCGCGGCTACGATACGTAATGTGGAAAGGGTGGAGCGCCAGACGGCGCAGATACTAAAGGATCTTGAGTCGAAGGATTTCAAGGATATGATGAAGGAGATTCATCGCGCGTTGGCGTTTTCGCATAATACCATTGTCGAAGGTATGCCGGGGATTATGGGTGCTGGTAAGTCCTATCTTTTCATTTTGTCACTCCCTGGGATTGTGTGATTTTATGCTTACTTTTTTGTGCGTTTAGTTGTCAAGACTCATGGACCTAATATGACGACCTTCATCTTCATTGCTGTGGCTGTGCAAATTATGGTTACGGGTGCGTATCTGGTTTATAAGAAGAGGAGGGGTGGTGCGCCGAAGAAGTACCTATAGATTTTTTTGTGGTTAGTGGGGTGTTCCGACGGTGCGCGGTGTTGGGGAGTGTAGTGTAGTATGAGGGTTTTCCATAGAAGAGGCAGGGTTATTTGTACAATACTCAATTCAGACAACTGGGTATGACAACTCGAGTAAGAGTTTGATGTGTTTATCTCGATGTACAACTGGAAGTGATGGTAGTAGTGTCTTTGATATATGCATGTATTGTCGTCGTACTTCATTTCAGTATCTATATGCCAACGCTTAATACCCCCAGACCCGAACGCCATCTATGCATTCCCGACCAAAAAGAAAAAACACACACGCATGCTCTATGCCGTAGTGTCCATGCTCGAAAACTCCCATCCCACACCATCTACCCACCTTCACTCACTTCCTAGCCTCAAGCAACAACTTCCCCTGCGGCCCCACCTTCTCCGCAAACCCACCCGTCCTCTCAAAAACACGCTGACCCCTCAACCACGTCTCCCTTACCACACCCTTGAGCGTCTTGTTCTCGTACGGCGAGACTTTATTCCTGAAGAGCATTGTTGACGGTTCGACCTTGACATAATATTAGCACGAGATCCACATACATCAAAAAGTAAAAGACGGGGATAGCAACATACCAAAAACTCCCCCTCATCATCAAAAACCACAACATCAGCATCAAACCCGACCCCCAAATCTCCCTTGCTCTTCTCCAACCCAACCTGCTTGGCAGTATTCCGACAACACCACCTAACCACATCCTCGATTGAAAAGTTCTCCGGGTCGCGTTTCCGGCCTTCGGTCCAGAGAATAGGGAGACCGAGACCCACGCTCGATATACCGCCCCAAGCGCTGAAGAAATCTCCTTTTTGCTTCTCGTCTCCATCTGCTGATGACGAGGAAGGAGATAAGCCATTTGGTTCCAGATGCGAGGGTAATAGCTTGATCTCTGGTGTGCAGGGCGAATGGTCACTGACTACTGTTTGAATCACACCGCCGTCACGATCTTGCACCAATTCTTCCCATAAGCCATCTTGGTTGCTCTGCGAGCGTATCGGCGGACAGCACTTGTGTCTCGTGTCGCCCTCCTGGATGCCCTCAGCCGCAAGGGCCAGGTAATGAAAGCACGTTTCCGCCGTAATCTTCACACCTTCCGCCCTTGCTTTTCGCAACATGGGAATCGCCTCCACGGCGCTGAGATGCACAATGTGGAGTTGCAACTCCGGAGCGAGATGTGCCAAGGAAAGGATTTCGGCAACGGCGCAAGTTTCGAAGGCGGGAGGGCGCGAGGAGAGGAAGGTGGAGTAGGCGTTTAGAGGGCCTTTGGGGGCGAGCGGCGGCGCGGAGGTTTGGATGTCGTCGCCGACGGAGTCTGAGATTGGGGGAATCATTTCGGCGTGGAACATTAGGGTTGTGGGGGAGGACTTTAGGGCGAGGAGGGCGGCGCGGATATCGAGGGAGGAAACGGCGGGGAATTCTTCGACCTAGGGGGTTGTTGTTAATATCGGGGGCTCATGGGTTTAGGCCACTGCTGTGGTGTGGGTTGGGACTTACACCACTGTCACATAAGAACCCCTTGAACCCTCTCACACCTTCCTTGACCAACGCTTGCAACTCCCCAGCGTTCCCTGGGATAATGCCCCCGTAGAATCCCACGTCAACCCAGCACTTGCCCTGTGAGGCTTCACACTTGATCTTGAGGTTCTCGACTGTTGTCGTGGGCGGAATAGCGTTCAGTGGCATGTCAATGACGGTTGTTACGCCGCCAAAGGCCGCTGCTCGTGTCCCAGTCCAGAAGCCTTCCCACTCTGTTCGACCTGGCTCGTTGAGATGAACGTGGGCGTCTACAAGACCGGGGAGCAGAATGTAGGGCGAGTAGTCCGTGTATGCCGTTCCCTCTGGGAAATCTGTGGCTGGAAGTACAGAGTGGAAGATTGATATAATCTTGCCCGTGACATTGGAAATGACGATCGTTGCTTCAGTAAGGCGACCACCAACTACAGCTCTTGAAGATGCGAGGACAGTGATTTGTTGAACTGGTTGCTCGTGTCCCATTGGGGGAGGTGTTGTTGCGTGGGGCGCCATGATGGAATATTCTTTGAAATATTTCCAACTTAAAAAAAGACGGGAAGATAAAACAGAGAATGTGGAGAGAAAACGCGGAGAAGATGGGCTCAGCTCCGCATTCAAGATGCAAGATGCCCTATATACAGCAACAAGCCCCGGTCTCGGCAATCGCGGGGGGATACAGGGTGTACTGTAGTGTGGGTGTATTTGGGTGAGCTGCAGATAAGCGTTGATAAGATATGTTGAAAGTGTTAAAGGGTGTCACAAATGCCAACTTAAAGGTACCACACCGGAAAGAATGCCAACAAAGAAATGCTGTTTGATCAGGTTCCTGAATGTTCAAAAAACGCCAAAACCCGGGGTGCAGGACCACCTTATCTACCCGCAGCCATGGAGCTATTCCGAGCTGCTTGCTTCTCGTAGACGCCGTTGTGTGTAGCCCAGAATTCTAGGTCAGGGCTAGAGTGACACACCAGGGGACAGTGTGGAGTTACCTTCGGCGAACCCTGAACTAGACGGTTGCTCGATTCTATCGAGTAAAACGGGTGGATATGAGGCTATCGCTGCCGCCTAAGCCACCCCATCTGGACCTTGTTTTTCGTTGGCTGACATTTAGTGCAGATACGAGTCTTGTCTTTCTAGGCCCTCTCTTGTACTGAAATTCATCAATATCTAATCTTGGTCAGCATCAAGGTCCGAACAAACACATTCTTCGGCATTCCGAGAATCAGTATGGGGTGACAATCAGCCACATTTCGGGCAGGGCGTCGAAAGCGGCAAACTTCCTCACCGTCTAAACCTCGGATGCAGATGGTGTTGGGCAGTTGTTGGGGGACGTGCATGTGTTACTGATAAGCATATGCAAGGGTGTGCTAACATGCGATAGGCGCACATCAGATCGCCCCGAGTAGATCCACAGGGACTAGCGCAGGGTCAACAGACGAGCGTCATGACTTGGGACTCTCCAACATCCCCGCTGTTGTCTGTATACACGCTCGCAGTACCTCTGCAAATTGTATTCCAAGGCAATTGATGAGTTCCGACTCTTTCTTTGTTCATCTGCTTGTGTTGGATAAAGAAGTTAGTCGGGGAACCATCGGAGTCCAGCCCGAAAAAGCCGGAGAAGCTAGGAGATGTGGCCAGCGAAACTCTCAACACACTCAACTGATTACTCGATTGTAATCGAGTAACGGAAATACAACCTGCCGAACCTGGAACGTTGTCCACCGCTGAGCTAGCCTGACGTGCGCACTGGCTATTTTCGGGGCTGGCCGGTAGCCATACGGTTGACCAGATTGAGCACATCCGGGTTGTCTTGTCTTACTGATCCTTTCTCGCCGTTTCATGAATACAGCTGTCTTTAGTTCCTATCATCATGAATTCAAAGCGCAAAGAGATACAGCCCTCAAGAGATGGTAACAACGTATTTTCGGGGGTCTCCGATATCCTGACATGGTGCGATGATCGGTAGAAGTCATTGCGCGTAAGCGGCGAACTACGGCGTTCGAAGCCCTGTCTTCAGAGGTAGCTATCGAGTAACGAAAACTCTACGTCTCACGATTTCTGGAATCATCAGTAGCGTGCGAGCGTCCGAGAGGTCAAACCACAACGGCTGTTCTCAACTTGCTCTGGTGGCCGGCAGACTGCAGACACGATGCGACGTAATGGCTATACATTGGCTCGATGCGCTCTCAACCTCTCGTATGCAATGACAAATTCTTTGCAGAGCTTTTCGACAGCAGAAACGGGGTTTCAATTACGTTAATCTTGACAAGTGAGAGGCATGTTGACTAGCATGGTACGTGGCCGACTTCAGCTGCCGTGGTCTAGGCAGCTCGAGCGGACTGTCACACCCGAAAGAGCTCCGTAATTCATCATCAGGTATGACGTAGATCCACTGCGCACTCGGGTCAGCCAAATACGACTGTAGCATGATTGGAATAAGTTGTGATACAGGGCTCGAGCTAATTGATTGAAAGCCAGCTATATCTACCCTCCTTACGGGCCGGTGTGATACCACCGCTCGCGTTCTTCAATGCTTTGTCGTTTCTACTCGTACATGCCAGCGACGACCACTCTTCAGGGAGATCAGTAACCATAATTCTTAGAAAAACTTGTCCAACATTGATTGTTTCTTCTGGGGCAACGATGCTGACTTGGAATCTTTCCCATCCGCCAACAGGGACCGAGAATTGTACAGACTTGCACGGAGGCCGTATTCGGAGGCTTTTTCTCCTGTAATGTCCAGGTGAGTGTAGGCGTCTGGTTTGTAGTATATGGACCTTCCCGCCGTGATAAGGCCCATTGAGTCGAGCTCTTTGAGCACACGCAATACGTCTTCTGCATCTTCAAAGTCCTTGGTGTAAACGCAGACTAAATTTCAGATTAGCCAACGAGCTTGTGTATTCTTTCAGATACTCACTCAGTCGTTCATTCCTACCATCATCCGTCGCTACTTTGCAGGTGCAACCAAGCCGGTTGTCGATGACACTGGAGACGATTTGCTTCCATATCCGAGTGACATCTTCTAATTTTAGAAACAACATCCACTGTACCGGGTCAGTTGTAACAAACAGTGACGGTTGACTGAACTTACCTTTCCAGAGACCACACGAGTTTCCCTTGCCAAGCCCGTGATGCGTTCCTGCAAGGCTTTACTCTCTTGGGCGAGCTGCTTATTCACCACAGCTCGGGGTCCTCTAGCGCCATCGTCTTTGATCTTTTGCCGAGTCTCTAACGACTGAGCGAGCAGTTGCGTACCACGAGTCATAAAGTCATCCTCTTGAGGAGAAGGAGACTTGTCGCGGGAATTGCGATGGGGGTTTGCGGCCCAGATCCAGGGACATTTTGAGATGGGAGTAGTGACTGGGGGAAGACGTTTGATAAAGTCATCAACAGGCTCACCCAGTTGCCATGCGCCGGGTTGTCCCTCTAACGGGTTAAACAATTGGGGCCCTGGCGATGGCTCTCGCTTCCGCTTCTCGCCTAGTCGTGCCAGTCGCTCTTGCTCCATTGCTTTGCGGTCCATGCCAGAGATGTTGAATTTATCCGTTTCAGTCACTGATTGTGCATTGTTTGTGGTTGGAGAGGCTTGATCAGGTGCAGCAGTGGTTTCCTTTACTGCAAGCTTGGCCCTCGCAGCGTGTGCAATTGTGTTTAGATCATTGCCATGTGTACGCCAGAAGGGTTCTGGGTTGAAGCTATTAGCGAGTCGGACCTGTCGCTTTTGCTCCTCTTCATCACCTGCCTAGTGTTAGCCAATGTTGGAACTTGCGACTGAGTGTTTGCTGCTTTGGACTCACCATAGAAACTGCTGTCATCGGAGATGCATCCCTCTCCCCATACAGTATTCTCTTCCTCCATACTTCACACTGCAGAAATTCACAAGGCACATGCGCCGTACTAAGTGAAATGTGGATTGTTTTGTGAAAGTTGACGCAATATGACGGCTGATGGTTATTGTGGTTTTCGAAATACCTTGAGCCGCCTGGATCTGGTTAGCTTGGTGCCCAAGAACATCAACTCCCATAGTAATTTGTTAGTAAATTAATGCAGCAGCCGTTTCCCACCTCCAGAAGCCCATGAAGCTAGTCCTGTACTCTAAATCGTTCGTGTATAGCGTTTTGTTTGTGTGGAGCTTGTTGCGAGCTCAATCTAGCTGCTGTTGGGATGCCGCCCAAGCGCCAGCGTAAGCCGAAGCAGCCATTCGATCAAGGCGTTAACCCGTCCTCCCAGAAGCGTAGAGCGCCAGCAACTAGACAAAATCCTACCCATTTAACGCCTAAACGTGTCCGCCGTGAGGCGCTGCCGTCGCCTCCAGCGACTGCCCCGCCGCGCCGTCAAAGCCCGTTGTCCGAGCCTGAGCTGCAAGCCCACCCCAAACAGCTGCCTCCGCGCAAGCTGAAGAATATCGTTGGCGAGGATGAGGATACTTTCGAGGATGGAGATGGCGATCCGCTGCCTGAGGATGAGGATGAGATCGCTGCTAAGGGCGCTGCCGGTAGTGTTGAGGATGAGGGAGAGCCAGCGTACCGACGTCAAGAAGGCACTCCATGGCTGCCTCGCTCATCGCAAGCGCTAGAGGATGAGGTTAATCCTGTACTGCGCGTTAGGTGGAGGGCTTGCCTTGGTGGTGATATGGAGAAACACTTTATTCCTGAAGCTGCCGATAGCGAGCACGGCGTACGGCTGTACTCGCTGCATTTCGACGACCTATGGCAGTGGGTAGATGACGTTGTTGCAGAATTACGGCCAAAAAGAGCGAAGATCTCATCTGTTTGCACTGTTGTTTACCCAGCTAAGCAGGCCAAACGCGAGCGCGCGATAAAGCGATTGCGGCGAGGTGTTGATGCAACGTGGAATAGCTTTCAGCGCCTTGTTGTAGAGGTTGATAACTATGTCAGCGAGCCAGTAAACGTCGATTTCGAGCTCATCTTGGCTGAAATTCCAGGGGAGCAGCAGCCGTTGCCAACGGTTGTCGACGGTCCTCGTCGACGCACCGCAACGGTGATTCAAGAGGAGGGGCTTGCTGGTGTAATAGCAGCTGAACAAGCAGGTAGCGGGCATGCTATTGCTATCCGGGATAGATGGCGCTGTACAGATACCCATTGCGAGAACTATCCTTATTGCTGCTGGATGGCGCCAACAGCGAGGCAGCCAGCGCGCTTCGAAGATCACCTCTTTGTCAACGGCAACATTATCTCCATGTGGGCAAGAGCAATTACAGCGAGAAGGGCAACGTACGATGAGCCATCTGATGATGTACGGCTTGCAATTTTGAGAGCAAAGGACCTGCGGGTGCATGAGAAAACGCGCAAGTTGCGGGCGGCTGGAGATGGCGACGATGATATCAAAAGCTTAACAAAACTGCTCATCGTTGGACAGCTTGAGCGGATGAACAGGCAACCTCAACAGGAGTCTAACTTGCAGGCAGCTGCACCAACGATAACAAGAGCTGAGGTATCTAGTGCATCTCAGTGGGCGCCTATCCGATATGATCATGAGCAGGAGATTAACGAGCATACTAGTAATTTCTTTAACTACCTTAAGTTAAAATTTCCTACAGTTGGAGAGGACATTAACGAGCTTTATAAGACTCTTGTTATTGACGGAGCTATGGATATCAACCTCTTGATGCAGCCATCTGGTGATATCTTGAAGTTGTGGACGCAGCATTTCAAGCAGCCTCCTGGCTGGTTTTTCACGCTACAAAACACTGCAAAAGAATGGCAAGCTGGGTACCAGGGTCTCACAGATCGTAACTGGAGACGAGTCGAACGTTGTAAGAAAAGAGAAGAGATTGCGCGCAAGAAATTGGTGGTTGAACCGTCTAGCAGTGTTGTGTAGGATGATGGCGAGAATGCTTGAAGCTTAGTGGCCTGAGCGTTTTTGGTGACAGCGGCCCGTGCCCGCTATAAGTTAGTGTTGAGGTTTTTCAGGCGTTTCAAATGCGCTGCAACAATAGTCTATTTGGATAGCCCTATGTACAACACTACAACGTTATGCGATTATAACAGGTTAACTTCCTAAGATAGTTCTATATGTATAGAAATAGCTCTTATTTTTTTAGAATTATTAAATCGCTTTTGTGGGTTGCGCATTAAGGTGTAATCGTTCGCATTTGTATGGTATCATCTACCTATAGAAACGTACTGTGGCATCCATTTAAAAGCACAATTAATAGGGATAGCCACACCTATGGAACCAGCTTCTGCAGTTAATATTACAGCACACCAGCTGCGCTGCATACTCAAGAAAGACCCCAAAGTCAATGAAGTTCTCCGCTTGCGCTGAATTCCTTTTCATCCACCCCTTGAGCTGCTTAAAGCTCTTCTCGATGGGGTTGAAATCTGGTGAGTATGGCGGCAGATACTCAAGGAGTACTCCAGCACTTTGGCAAAGCACCCGTACACGCTCTGATCGATGGATGGAGGCGTTATCAAGCACGATTACTGAGGCTGGCCCTGGGTGAGGATTGCAGAACGGCAGCACTTGAAACTCTAAGAAGTCTTCTAGGATCTCAGATGTAATCGCGCCTTGAAAGATCTTATAGCTTATGTAGCCATCTATCGTCATGGCTGGCAGCAGCGACCACCGTTCTGATCGCCTGAAGCTGTGTGATAGCTCCACCGGCTCCCCGATTGGAGACCAGCCATACTTGCGGTCGCCCGTACGCTCATTGCAGGCGCTCTCGTCCAACGCAACGATCTGCTCCGCCTTATAGTGTTGCGCCATCCTGGCAAGATAGAGGCGGCGGAGTGGCTCACTCTGCTCCTTTGCCCGCTTTGTTGCAAGCTTGCGAGACCATCTCATCTTCTCTAGCTCTCGGTAAACGCTCGCAAGGCTTATCCTAACGTCGTACTCGTCGTACAAGAAGTCCCTCATCTCATCCATGTATGCGCCCGGTGAGCCATTGAGGTATGCCTGAAGGCCTTCGCGCTGAGCTTGCCGGAGTATAGATGGCCGCCCAAGTCGAACGCAGCGCGGCGGATAAGGCACGCCCCAAAACTCTAAGCTCAACCTCAGCTTTGCTACTGTGTTACGGCTCGCACCTGTAGCTCTAGAGATGGCTCGATCACTTTCGCAGGCAGCAATTCGGTCGAGGATAGCCTGGAGAACAGCGGGCTGCAAGCGGTGGCCGGTGCCTGGCATCGCGATGAGATGGGCTCGAGAAAATTGCAACACCAAAAACGCGAGTCAGTAGAGGCGATCGCAGCAAACAATGAACTTCAAATACGTTGTGGGTGTTAGAAAGCGTGGCTGCATCGATTTACTAACAAATTACTATAGGAGTTGATGTTCTTGGCCACCAAGCCAACCAGATCCAGGTGGCTCAAGGTATTTCGAGAAACACCCATATCCAGATGGGGAAGCAACGGTAGAGGCCAGGCCGGGGCACCCCTGCATTCTCAACGCGTCCGCGACCACTTTACGCGACGCGTGGACGACTCTTTCACACCAACATCCCGAAGCGTATACGCAGAGAGAAATTAATGACGACCAATATGCCACACTCAATTAGCCCAGAGTCGACGCCCGCAGAGGACATGTCGCAATCAGCCTCACAAACCGACAACATCAAGGCCGAAGCAGAGACGCAGGATGTTGCAATGGAAGACGCACCAGCACCAGCACCAGCAGCAGACAAGGCCAAAGTAAACCTTGAAGAACTGTTCGATGATGACTCGGACGACGAATTCAATTCAAGTGCACCAGCAGCAACGTCACAAGAAGATGCCTCAAATTCAGTACCAATGTACGCCCCCACATGTGCAGCATTATCCCAACATGTCCGACTGACAACTGTTTAGTAACGTCACATCTAAATCCTCCTTCTCCGATCCTGATGTCATGCGAGCCTTCTACCAACGCCTCTTTCCCTTCCGTCCCCTCTTTCAATGGTTGAACCACTCCGCAACGCCCAGCAACGACTTTGCACACCGCGAATTCGCTTTCACACTACCCAACGACGCATACCTACGTTACCAGTCATTCCCTACAGCGGATCTACTACGAAAACAATGTATCAACATGCTGCCCTCGCGTTTCGAAATTGGGCCCATGTACAGCACAAACCCACGGGATAGGAAGACGCTACGGAAAGCCAGCGCCTTCCGCCCACTCATGAAGGAACTGGTATTTGATATCGATATGACGGATTACGACGACATCAGGACATGCTGTACAGGTGCGAGTATCTGTCTCAAGTGCTGGGGTTTCATCACCATGGCCATCAAAACAATCGACGTCGCCCTCCGCGAAGACTTTGGCTTCAAGCACATCCTCTGGGTATACTCGGGTCGTCGCGGTGCCCACGCCTGGGTCTGCGACAAGCGCGCACGCGAGATGGACGACCAAAAACGCCGCGCCATAGCCGGCTACCTCGAGCTCCTCAAAGGCGGCGACCAAGGCGGCAAAAAAGTAATGGCTCGACGACCCCTCCACCCCCATCTCGAACGCAGCCTCGCTATCCTAAAAGAACACTTCCAAACCTCCATACTCGCAGACCAGGACCCCTGGGCCTCTGAAGAAAAAGCCGCACACCTCCTCACTCTCATCCCCGATACCTCCCTCAGAGCCGCACTACAGAAGAAATGGGACTCTGCCCCCAACCGCCCCAGCGCATCCAAATGGTCCGACATCGACGCCCTCGCCAAATCCGGCCATTTATCAAAATCACCAAAGGACCTCCTCGAAGCTAAACAAGACATCATCCTCGAATACACATACCCCCGTCTCGACGCTGAAGTCTCCAAGAAACTAAACCATTTGCTCAAATCGCCGTTTGTCATTCACCCTGGTACAGGCCGCGTCTGTGTGCCGATTGATACACGGACGGTGGAGGATTTCGATCCCCTGAGTGTGCCGACGATTACGCAGTTGTTGGGCGAGATTGACGAGTGGAAAGGAGGCGACGACGGGAAGAAGGTGCAAGATTGGGATAAGACGAGTTTGAAACCGTATGTGGATTTTTTTAGAAAGTTTGTCGCGGGTTTGATCGAGGAGGAGAAGGGGGTGGGGAAGAGGGAGAGGGAGGAAACTGGGGATGCTATGGAGTTTTGATGATCGATACCATATATAGTGACATGAGAGAATTTTGGTAGATCAAATGTTGCAATATGATGAATCATGTAATTAATATTGGAATTCGAGATTTCCAGATCCCGCAATTTATATGTGTACATATACCTTTGATATCTTTGAACCATGCATAGAAACTTCATCCGCGGCGAATTCAGGACCTTTTACCAACTCATGACCAACACCAAAACGACACCGACAACCATCCCAACAACCGCACCTCTCACCCGTCCCGAACCCGCCTCATCCTACCCACTCCCACTCCCACCCGCACCCCCAGCAAACCCTAACTGACAAACGGTCCCCTCCATAGTACAATATGGCATCTGAATCGGCTCAGCCCCCACTCCCCTCAACACCAACCTCTCCCTCATCTCACTCAGCCTAGGCGCCGCATCAATCTGGCTTCTATTCCTGCCCTGCTCATCTTTCGCACCCGACCACAGAATCTCCGCGGCCGCCGCAGCACGCGGCCAGATCATGCGATCGACGTTTACGGGGTCAGTCTGTTCGGACCACATGTGAGCCTCGCCTCCGAGAACGAGGTGCTGGTTCTCCGGGGCAACGCCGGCGAGGGGGTCGTAGGAGTAGATTAAGCGCCAGTTGTGGAAGGGGGCGCAGTAGTCTTGGTAGGGGTAGGATGAGGCGGCGACGGAGGGGTCGAAGTTTAGCCATTGGCCTTTGCCGCAGTCTAGGTACTGGTTTTCGTGTCAGCAAGAAATGTTTTTACCTATGGGAAATTGTGGCGTCCTTACCCAATAGTTGTAGTTTCCAACAAGCACTTTATGACCCTTTGCTGTGATTTGGGCGACTGCAGCGTCGCTCTGCCAAGACTGAACGATGACGTCTTTGCCGAGTGTAACGTTCCAGTCAAGCAGCATTTCCTCCCAGACTACTGGAGTAAGACCTAGCTTGCGGACTTGGTCATGGTTGCGGTCTACGAACTTTTGCATCAGGGGCTGTAGGATGGCCGTGTCATTGCTCTTGACCGTCTCGTCCAATGTATACGCGTTCTTATTGACTTCATCGCCGCCGGTGTGGAAGTAAGCCGAGTAAGGAGATACACGGGGTAGCACGTCGTCGAGCAGCTTGTTCAAAAATTCTGACACCTTGGGTGAGTTTAGCTTCAAGGTACCAGTGGGAGGTTCGGCTGCGTAAGTGTCCCAGTTTGGCTGGATGTTGAAAGCGGTAATTAGTTCAGGGAAGCTGTAGGCGATGCTGGCCGTGTGGCCTGGCATGTCGATTTCCGTGATCATTTCTACGCCTTGGATGGCGGCGTAGCGTTGCATGGTTTGGAAGTCGCTGGCTGTGAAGACTAGGTCGGGGCGGTAGGCTCCTTTGGCTGATAGCTCCGGTATCGAGGGTACTTCTAATGGCCATGACTGGCTGTCTGTGACGTGTAGATGGAATCGATTCATCTTGTTGTATGCACATGCGTCAATTTGGCGTTTGACATCGTCTACGGAAAAGGCAGCGCGAGATGTATCGAGGTTGATACCGCGGTGTTGAAATTTGGGGCTGTCTGTAATCTTGACCGGGGCGAGATTCGTGTACACATGTTGCTTATCAGAGTGGGCAAAGAAGAGTTGCGTCAAGGTAGTAAGGCCATGGGCAGCGCCGACACTGCTGTTTGCGCTGATGGTTGCCACTCCATCTTCTGTCAGCGTGAGGCTGTAGGACTCGTCAACTTCTCCCGCGAGCGGCTTTCCAATGCTGTCAGGATTGGCGGAGAGCACCCTGACGTCAATGCGAGTTACGGAGCCTGCACCGTCTGGTTTGGGCTCAGACCAATTACGCGGGTGGAACTTCCATGGGTAAAGGTTGCGCTTGAAAAGAGTTTGCCAGGTAGAGCTGATAGCGAAGTTGACAATATCGTCTCCTGATACACCTCCATCTCCTGCTCCATCACTTGAGTCTGGCTTGGTGATGGTCTTCTTCAACGATACTGTTTTGTTCTGTAAATCGGGGCTAGGGTTAGAGTCTGATACGAATAAAAAAGGGACTTGATCTGTTATGAAGCGTACATCTGTCCCCGTTTGGTACCAGTTAAAGGGCACGTCCTCTGCGATAAAAAGAACAGTCTTGCCGTTCTCATATGAGACGGGCTTCGGCCATAAAGCGGCCGCGAAAGACGTCAAGAGACATAGGGGTAAAAGAGACCTCATTATGCAAACAGTATGACGTGAATTGAACGAACGAGAGCAACAACCACGAAAAGGAGAGATGCGCGTCTTGAAGTAGTAACACACGGGACAGGGCGCTCAGCTAACTTTGAAAAAGAAGTATACTTCAAGCGATATAGGTCCGACTTTGGCGATCCCCGCACGTTCAGGCTCGTGCAATCTTACCGGCAGTGATACCACGGTGCCTTTAACACCCTGTTGGGTGTGGACGAACGACCGTCCAGGTGCGTATACGAGGTGGCATCGCGCAGCTTAGCTCAACCTTGGAAGACGTTCCCAGTCGCGTGAGTTGGTGGGGCAGATATGCATCTTCAGCCGGCCACAGGACACACCAGCGTCAGCGTCAGCGTCAGCCTCGCCCTCGCCATCATATAAATGTCGAGCAACGCCTGCTCATCCGCATCGACGCATATCAACCCCTCCCGCGCTTACTTCAATACTACGCATTGAGTTCCGATGTTAGCGCTGACAATGTCGACGAAATACTGTTTCAACACCCTGAGGATCCACCGGACCGGCTAATCACCCATGAGACGACATGTTACGCATCTCCTCCTCTTGTGACGGGTGCCAACTTTTTCGAACATTCCTCTGGTATGACTTCGGTCTTTCTCAGAAAGGGGAAAGATTGTGCATCCCCACCCGGCACTCGGAAACCCAAGGCTTCCGAAGCGAAAGCGAGATTTGATAAACTCAGTCCAGTCCTCCCTGCTCCCATGCTTGACATGGAGCTGGATCGTCTTTCCCCGCTTTCAATTCAAAAGCTACCTCAGACCTGTCTAGCCCATCTCTAGACGCTTTCCTATACGTTGGGCATAGGTTTTCCGCGCCGCCGTATACTGTAAACGTCCATGCCGAGGCGCAAGCCAAATGCCTTAGGGCGCCTGGAAGAGGAGATGAAAAAGCATAGGCTACCCATAAAGGTTGGCCCCGCGGCACACGACCTGGTGTTCTTGAATGTGAAGCGACAGTCAAAACTCGGCTTCCTTGTCAATCCCGAGATTTCGTGCGACGGCACCACTTACTCTTTGACGTCACGCGGATGGCCGCTGCCTTATATATCGATCGCTAACCTCTTTCATACCTCACTGAGAAACTGCCTATCTCGCCTGCCATGATCGCAATTTCTGTACCGTACCTCTTGGGTGCCCTCGCCGTCCTTTTCGTTAGCTACAGGGTAGCACGGGATGTCTACCTCAATGCGCGAATCCGCAAACTTGGCGCTCGCGCGCCCATTCGGACGTCCTATGTTCCATATGGCCTGGATTTCGCCTACCACGCCGTCGTGAATGCCATGGACAACAAAATATACGAAATGTGGACAGCTGTATTTGACAAGTGGTGCGGACCCGGCCGATACACAGTCGAAGTTGGCATAGGAGAGCGAGTCCTCATGACTGCGGACCCGGAGAATATCAAGGCTATTCTGGCAACACAATTCAAGGACTTTGGCAAGGGAGAACAATTCAGGTTGGATTGGCATGACTTTCTCGGTAACGGTATGTAGCTATCACAGCATGAAGTTGGGCACCATTCTAACAGTCTATGGACAGGCATCTTCACCACCGACGGCCAACTATGGCACAATTCGCGCCAGCTCATTCGACCGCAATTTGTCAAAGACCGCCTTAGCGACATTGACATCTTCGAACAGCATAGCCAAATCCTCATCTCCAAGATCGAACAGAGTCAGGAAATTAACACCCTCGATTTGATGTTTAGGTTTACATTGGACGCTGCTACACATTTCTTGCTTGGACAAAGCGTGGGCAGTCTGGAAGTTCCCAAGACGGTGTTTGCTGACGCCTTCTACAACGCCCAGCGTGTACAGAGTCTCGTCGCTCGAGTTGGGTATGTATCCTCACGCCTTTGTTGAAAACTACCGCTGACCATCCATAGTCCACTAAATTGGGCTGTTCCCCGTCGCAGGATGGGTTTCTACGAGTCCGTCCAGATCATCAACGACTTCGTAATCCCCTTCATCGACACTGCCCTCTCCCTCTCCCCCGAAGAACTCGAGAAGAAAACCAGCCACGACCAGGGCTACACCTTCCTCCACGCCCTCGCCGGCTACACCCGCGATCGACACATGCTCCGTGACCAACTCGTCAACGTCCTTCTAGCCGGCCGCGACACCACTGCGTGTACCCTAACGTGGGTCATCTACCACCTCTCCAAGGACCCAGCTATAACCGCCAAGCTGAGACAAGAAATCATGGACACCGTCGGCCTGGACCGCAAGCCTACATACGACGACTTGAAGAGCATGAAATACCTCCAACACATCCTAAACGAAACCCTCCGCCTCTACCCCGTCGTCCCCTACAACGTCCGCGTCGCCCTCAAAGACACCACGCTTCCGACCGGCGGTGGCCCCGACGGCCAACAACCCATTGGTATCCTCGCTGGCACTCCAATCAGCTACTCCACTCTCATCATGCAGCGCCGCACCGACATTTATCCTACTCCCTCCGCTGAATTCCCTCCCGCTGCGGACTTTGCCCCCGACCGATGGAACTCCTGGACCCCGAAGAGCTGGACTTATGTCCCGTTCAACGGTGGTCCCAGAATTTGTATTGGCCAGCAATTTGCGCTTACCGAGATGGGATACACACTTGTGCGCTTGTTCCAGCGGTTCGAGACAGTGGAGAATCGGATGGGTGACGTGGAGCCGGGTCTACATGCTGATATTGTATTGCAGCCGGCGAATGAGGTCAGGGTTGCGTTTCGGTAGGCAGATGGGTATGTGTGTTTGAGCGTTTTGTTAGGCAGGTAAAATCGGGTATAAGTTTGGTATCGTGTATAAAGCAGGTTTTTAGTAATCATGCAGTAACGAATTCAGTCACGCAATCTACATATTTTATGCAGAAATCACTTCTGATGAAAGAAAGCCACTGTTCTCGTCTTACTCTCATATTCATAATATCCGTGTCAATAAATCCAAAAGATATACATTCAACTGTAGGTATCGGGTATCTTTACTAATGAAAATCACAAAAACGCCTCCCTTCTCCCCTTCCTGTCTCTATCCCCATCCCATCCCACACAACCCCTAAACCCTTCTCGCAGCCATCCTATCAGTCCCCCTAACCTTCCTCGTTCCCGCAGCCTTCTTCCCACTCTTCCCCTCCAAATCCCCCACCACCTTCTCCGCCGTACCGGTAACAGCATCCACAACCTTCTCCGTCTTGGTGCGTGGTTTCTTTACCATTTTGACGTTTGCTGCTTTGGCAGCGGGGGTCTTCTTTGCAGTGGTTGTTTTCTTAGTGGTGGTGGTAGAAGGAGAGGCTTTTCCTACGCGGCCAGAGACGACTTTATTGGAGGAGCGCGGTTTGGATGTATTTGCTTTTGTGGTGTTTTTGGTGGGGGTGAGGGTGTTTTGGATGGTGGTGAGGAGGCGGGGTTTGGAGTTTCCTGTAGAGCGGGTGTTAGCTGGATGGGTTGGTGGGTTGGATGGGGAGGGACGGACCAGTTCGTGCACGTGTAGTTGCGGCCATGATGTCTAGTTTCTGACTCTCTTCTCTTCTACTTTTGTAGAGTCTGTGGGTATATCGGTGCTGGTGTTGTTATCGAGTTCTCTAAGCTACAAAGTTAGTAAACCAAACCATCACAACCTCGTTTCAATTCCAGTCGTAAATCCAAAAGATGAACATGAACGCGCTGACACCGCCACACACACACACACGCGCGCGACAACGGTTGAGAGCTTGCCCTTTCTCCCTGATTTTTTTTGTTGACCGCCTCCCCTCTCTTTTCCCCTCTTTTGGCCCTTCCTGCTCTTTTCGTCCGAAGAAATACGCGGCGAGACCGAATGATCTTCATGGCGCCCTCGTATAAGAGAAGAACGTGGTAGATACAACAAATCTCGCGCTTCAGGCGACAAAACCAGTTACATCGATGGGGAGGCAAGACGGGAAAGGGAGACACATTCAACGCGACACACGCCCCCCCTCCCCTCCTCTCTGTCGCCCTCTCGCGCAAAACCAGCACATTCAGCGCGACACAACGGCCTCAAACCCGTAGGATAACGTGAAGAAAAAAAACCTGCACCAAACACGACAAAAAATCCCCCCAGAAAAAGATAAAAACTTACCAAAAAAATCCCAAAATCTTTTGCCGTATGAGTGTGAAGAAGTAAGCCGTTTCTCACCCAGGCGGGGGGAAAACAGCGCACTTTAAACGAACAGCAGCAGCAGCAGCAACCATGTGTCTCACAAAAACCAGTACCAGCGACATATGCACGCACGCGCACATGACAACGAGTACCATGGGAGCCAATCAGGAATAAGTGGATACCACACATTCTCAAGTCCAAGTGTGGGTGGGTAGGAAGCACATCATCCAGAGACTAACGGAGCTGGCGCTGGCGCTGGTGCTGGGAAGGATCTACTATTTCCCTGATTGTTGCGCTGCGCAAGCTGCGCGAGTGAGATAAGCCAGAATAGACCGAGGTCTGGGTCTGGGTCTGAGGAGCTCCGCGCCGCAAAGGATTGCGACACACAACTTGGCTACGTACTTCGCGTACCTGGGCAGCTGGCTGGCTGTAAGCGCCCAACGTACAGTACCTGCGTTTTTTTCACACGAGGTCTTCACAATAGGGCAAGCATATTTCCAATAAGTTCATTCATCAATGTGATTCCATCTCATTGGTACACATAAATAAACCCTTAATCCCACCCATGCCATCCCACAGGGCCATGGCAAGCGATCGCGTCCCTAGCCAGCGAGCGACCAGCAAACAGTTGTAGATCACCATTCCTAAGCGCCATCCAAGGAGTTCAGAACATCTTCTTTCCTCCTCCACATCCCAAAAGAACCCGACTTTTTTGCTTGCCCGTAAAAAACGCCTCTATAACCCATCCGTCTTTCCTTTTCCTCATCCCACATTCGTAAAAAAATTCGTGAACATGGACCTTCTATTGGGCACTTCTAATGAGCAGCAGCGGCAGCAGCAGAAGCAGCACCCTTCTGCATCCTCTTACTCATAAAGTCGAAGAAAGCAAACTGGCTAGCCGACACACCGTGCTCGTACACAAAGCGACTAGCAAGGTAACTACCAAAGATGGCTCGGAGGTAGTTATCCGGTACCTATGTTACACATACGTTAGCTTCTAATCAATCGAACCACCACAAACATCAACAGACAGATATGACTTACCCTCTCAATAATTTTGTCCAAACCAATCTTCTCCAGCAAGATGTTCGGCAAAGCCTCCTTGAGAACAGACTTCCTGAACTCGACATTCTTCCAGAGATCAGTGTTTTGTAGCTCCTCGTCCAGCTTGGTGATGGCGGTACTGAGAGTGTCACTAAGAGTGCTGCGAGGCTGGCCTGTGGCCTGGTGTTCGCGCCAGATGGCTTCGAATTCGAGACGAGCGTTGTTCTGGATAGTCTTTTGGACTTCGCGGACGTAGTTGTTGTAGAACTCTGGGGCTTGGCCGTCTTCGCCAACGCACATGTGCTTGATGAAGCTTTCATCGTCAAAGGACAAGGAGGCAAGGACCTCGAGCGAGGAAGATGTAACACCGCCCTTGTTGGCGGAGGCATCCTTGTACAAAATGCAGCCGGCCTTCTCGAGACGGAGCTTGGCGTCTTGGGTGATGAAGAGGTTGGCACCTTCGACAATGTATGGGATTACTGACTTGCCGTCAACAATGAGCTTGCTCGCGGTCGACAGGTCAATGGATTCAGGTCGACCACCGCAGGGAACAAAAGTGTCGTAGTGCATGTCGCTGCGAAGATGGAATGTGTTTCGGAAGGTGGTACCGTTGTAGACAAGGTCTCCATTAGGAAGGCGTACGTTGGTGTCGTCGACCAGAACGCGGTAACCCTCTGAAGAAAGCTTGGAAATGTCAAACTCGTTGATCATCTTGCGTCCCTTGGCCAGGCGAATGAGCTCCGGGTGATTGATACCCTTGTGGTCGACTAGAACACCGGAACCATCTATAATGGCAACGTACTTCTCGTTGCTGAGCAAGATCTCGTTCGATCCAAGGTCACCATCAGGGCCACCGGTCTGCAACTTGCGGACTTTGCTGGGGTCGAGGTTGAGTTTGCGGTAGATACCCAAGACGTACTCGCGAACGGACAAGGTAGTCATGCCATAGCGGTCGTGAGGAATACCACCCAGCTTGGGGCTCTTTCCAGTGAAGAAAGACTTCCACCACGGCGCACCACGAATGCGAGCATGCTCGGTAGCCCAGTCGACAAGATCGGCAGTGTTCTCATCAGGACCCATGAAGAGAATTTCCTCCTTGCCATGCAGATCTACAATAGGGTCCTTGATACCAGGACTAGTAGGCGGCAGGAGCAGATCGAGGATACTGTCAATGTATTTTTCAAAAGCACCCCGCGCCTTGTCCTGATGCTTAAAGTCAAGCAAAACGACACCCTTGGAACCACCCTCAGGGATATCCTTGTTCTTGCGCTGTTGTGTGTTTGCGAGGTTGTAGTTCTCGTCAAACATGGAACGCGCGTTGATGGAGTATGCTTCCTGACTCCTAGACTTGACGATACGGATACCGCCACGAGCAATGTCGCGGAAACGAAGGTGGAAACCACGGAACTCGGAGCCAATGACGAGGAACATTCCGTACAATGGCTGGGGGTATTCCGATGATGGGAGGAAGTTGGGGTTCATGCGGAAGCTGATGGCAACCTTGGTAGGGGTGTAAAAGTTGGTCTTGAGCACAGAGCTGTTGAAGACACGGAAAGAGGTCATGACCATCTCGTGGTGGTCGTTGACGACGGCCTTGTTGATGGTGTCAGTCAGCTCCTTGTCAGTCTGGACCTTGTCGACCTGTAGGCGGAGATAACTCAGGGTTGGTAGGAAATCATCCTCCTGTCCCCTCGTCTGCACGTAGTGAGTCTTGGCGAACGGCAGGTACAGGGTGTGTACAAGCTCGGGGTATGTCATGATGATCTCGTAGATGTAATCAGCGGTGAAGGTCTCAGCACGCAATCTGCGCTTGAGCTTAGATAGCAACTCGGCGTGTACGCTGTTCTCCGTGTCCAAGATGGCTGATAGAGCCGTGTACTCGCTTCCCAGACGGTTAAGGAAGTGGGTGATGAAGACCCATACACAGTGTGCGTAAATGGTCTCCTGCAGACTCAATCTGCTGGTGGCAAAGAGCGTCTGGAACTTGTTTTGTGGGAGACAGTAGAGCAGCGAAACCTCCTTGGTGATCTGGTGAATCGACGCCTCGATGGGTGGGTGCTTGGCTCCAGCGGCACCAGGTAGTGGACGCAGGTACAGAGACATGACTGTGTAACCGTTGGAGAATTGCTCGACATACTTTCGCGACGTCGTCAGACCGTAGTAATGGTACAAGTCGCTCAAGGCGCTGAACAGACCAAGGGCACTGCCGCGCTTGAAACCAACGACCAACCGCTTGTCTCTTGAGCCTTCAATGTCAAAGTGGTCAATGACAGGGCCAGTTCGCTCTGCAGCGACTTGCAGAATCTGTTGGTAGATGACCTTTGTGTTGGCAGTCGCCTTTTGCAAGAAGCGCTTGTCACCAATCTTCTCAATGTCGGTTTCGGTCTCGCTGGGGTTGGGCTCCACAAAGTCACATTGGTAGACAAAGTAGCAGCGCAATTGTTGGTCCTCGCTTCCTGGCAGCGGGCTCTCGGAGCGGAAACTCTCCACACGGTAGGCAAGGCCTGGCTTTGAGACAGCCAGGTACCTCTTGCCTAGGCGCTGTTCGTATTGGGGACCGTCTATGACAGACACACCGGGTCTGCTGGTATCAATGTACACGGCGTGGTCTGCGGCCTCCTTCTCGAGCCGGATCTCAAGACGCTTGTCGTCCCTCGCATAAGCGGCGACCTTTGCAGCGTAGAGGGAGTGGATATGGCTTATGATTCTGGCAAACTGTTAGCGTAGTCTCGATATACATCCGGCCATTCTTACGCTTCTACTGTCTCGGTAGCAAAGTACATGTCGTCAATGCCCAGCTCGTTGTAGAACCACTTTGTTTCCGACTCAACAAGCTCTGGAGGCATGAAGCCCTTCTCCTCGACACCGTCCATGACGGCCTCCATCTGCTTCTCCTTGCCCTCGAAGACGGGCGCGACATATCCTGAGCCGCCCGAGCCTTCTTGGGGAATTGTGCGGGGTGTCGAGTATCCTGAGCCGGGCAAGCTCAGATGTGTGGGGAGGGGCGAGGGGCGTCGGTCTGGCTGGTTGACGACCTGGTCGAGCTGCTTGTTCTGAGGCTGTCCATTGGCAGCATCAATTGGGGTGGAAGCCATGTTGGGCGTATGCTGCTGGCTGTCGGTCGCCGGTGCAGGTAAAGATATAGCGGGGGATGCTCTTCGACAATGCTGCTGTAACAGTGGGCAATTGGCAAGAGGAGCGGTATGATGAATCGCAAAAGCGTCTGCACAATAGCGTGACGGAGTTTGGTCGGTAGCGGGGGTGTCTGGCCTACTAAAGTCAAGAATTAGTGGAACCCTTTACGACGCAGCATCTGAGCGCGCCCGACTTGCAAAACTGTAAGACGCGCAGAAAAAACACCGGAACCAGGGCAGAAGGACTAGTCTGCTTCTTAGTCCAACGTTACAGATAGACAGGACAAGCCTTTTCAGCCGTCAGTGACGGCTCGGATAAGCAACGTCTCGACAATTGGGCAGCTGATCCACCGCTCTTTCTGCTCTCCCTGGCTGGAGGTGGGGAATCCGGCGAGCATGGGGACGGTTCTGCGCTCTTTGTCTTAAAATAGAAATGTCCGTCACTAACCAGACGTCCTGAAGCTTTCCGTGGTACCACGCTGCTATCTCTCACGGTGCCTGGTGGTGAAACAAGAAGGCGATGGATGACGAATGACGGATGGCACGCACGTCTATCCGAAGATAAGGCTGTAGCTGTGCAGTAAGACAGAGGGAGATGAGACACAAGGCCAAAGCCTGAAAATGCGGCGTCGACGACCATGATTTATATACCTCCACGTTTGTCGAAGTCTTATGCGGCGTACCTGAATAGATTGGCCCGCGGCAAACCGAGCGTGTCGAGCTTCCCCAGACAAAACATGGATCATGGCCCGCTAGCACTGCATGGCCCCAACTTCACGTAATGAAGCACCACCTGCAAGCCCCCCTCCCCCCCCCCCCCCCCTCGACTCCTTCAACCTGACCTTGCAACTAGGCCAGACGCCCAAAGACAGCAGAAAAAAAAAGCCTCAAGCATGGTTCAGAGTTTTCCGCGAGTGCGGCCGGACAAGCCATCATCAGACTTGCATACTGCATATTGCGCTGCGGCCCCGCATACTTGCACCATTTGTGTCTGCTACCCGGCCGGTCTACTTTTGGTGCCCCCTCCAGGGCTAAGACTGCTTAGTGACCGGCCAAGGATGCCGCAGTAGTGGCACTCGACTACCGCACTTTGAACCTCGCCACTACGCGTCGTGCAGAAAACTCACGATCCTTGGCGCCGCACACGCCCAAACGACGTTGTTTCCATGACTGTACGTGGCCCCTTAGCACTGGGCAAAGCCCGCACGTGTCGTTGCCGCGCCCGTTATGGAACCCAGCTCGTCACCCGCTAGAGGTCACGATGTCACGATGCCCTCGCCTAAGACCCGTTGGATCCGAGCAAACCTAGCCAGTAAGTCACGATGCACTATCGTCACCTGCTGTGCGGCGTCTAGAGACATCTGGCCGAGACCCTGATTGCCACGAATCTTAACAAGCAAAATTTGACTATTGAACGCCGCGAACGGACCGCAAAAGTCACCATACCTGAACATCAGCTGCATCGCCTATACGGGTTTCTCTGATTCATGGCGTCTAATTTTCCTCCTCGCCGTATTCCCTCCCATTGACTGTCAACAGTACCTTGTGTCCGTGTCCTCCAATCCAGTTCTTCTTCTTGCCCGCCTTTTCAACCTTCTTGAGTGCTGCAAAGAGACCTTCGTCTAGCTCATCCGGTTCTTTGCTGAATTTGAAATCTATACACAGCTTCTCATGGTCTTTCTTCGTTGTAAGCCACTGTACATTTACCTCAACTCGTTTCTCCCGAATTGTACCTGCTGGGTATACGCTGGCAAGAACAGCGGCTACGCGGCCAAGATACATGCACCACCATCTAACGTCCTCCGGGACGAGCTGCAGCATCCGCCTGTAGAAGTCTTGTTCGGTTGGACTGATAGAACTGTAGCCGCCGTAGCGCTCGCAAAGTAGGATAGCAAGAAGGGCGCGATCTTCGTGGCTGAGCCCATGAGCAGCAGAGAAGATACCAGTCGTCGTACTCCTGAGAGCCGATCCACTCCGGAGATCCTTGACTTGCGCCATATGTGCAAACATGGCGTATGTAAATGCATGGATCATCGTAATACTGAAGATTGCTTCGCGAACAGCTGATGGCGGAGGCACAAAAGCTTTGCGCAGCATTTCTGCAAACTCGGAGCATCCAGACCGAGCATGGGGTCTTGTTGCTGCCATCAAAGGCGGGTATGCCCTAGTTTTCGTATCCATTTCCGTAAAATACATGCCCTCTCTTACACCGCCTTGGCAAAAGTATACGTCTGTAATGCTTGGTAGCGCTTTGGATAAGCAACTGACTAGGAAAGCCACCGAAGGCACTTGGCTTGCCCTTCGAGCAGACACGCGGAACATGTCGGGCGTATCCTCCTTCTGCACGGCTGCCTGGATAGCTTGCGTGTCATGGAACAAATCGCTAGTTGTACGGAAACCGTTGATGATCGGTATAGGATACGGCTGGATCCCATGTTCAGACATGAGCACAAATCCCCAGCCCCGGAAGCCACCTCCGGATAGGTACAGGTGAAGGCCCTCGGATGAGCTGCATCGGTCGAGAAGATGCTTGGGAATTTGAATGTCTCGAACGGCAGCTTTCAGATCAGCGAGCACTTCACTCTCAAATGCCTTGTATGTTTCGCTTTCAGGAGAGCCCGCCTGCTCAAGCCGTTTCGTGAGAGCTGCTGCACCGTATGGTAGACTTGCACTGCCTTTCTCACACATGTCAACTTTACCATGCTTGGTCGTTATCCATGTAAGCTGTGTGGAACCACCTCCAAGGTCCATCATCAGCCCTACGACGTTTTCATACGAGCTTGCTACACCAAGCGCCCCAATCCTTCCCTCCATCTCCTTTGGCAATAGCTCGACAGCCCACCCCGTAGCATCCTTGATTTTGCCTTGGAAATCTTCCGAGTTTGCCGCCTTTCTCGTAGCTTCCGTAGCCACTATACGAATTTGTTTCTGGGGTACCCCAAAATCCTGACACGTCGCTTTGAACCGCAACAATGATTTGATGACTTGCTTGATAGTGCCTTCCGGGATCGGCCGGACATTACCATTTTCGTACTGTGCATCGTAGAGCGATATCGCTGCGCGGTCCAGGTACACTGTCGGTAGTATACGCTGTGTTTCGGGCGCAAGGTCCGTGATAGAGAAGCGGATACCATTACTGCCCATGTCCACGAGACCGTGGAGCTGAGCTGACTCGTTCATCGTGACCGATTCGGCAGCGCGATCTTCCCCGGATTTGCGATTGGTTCTCCAGGTATTGGCCAAGCTGGAAGCGGAGAACCTGGAAAGACGGTGCGAGCCGTGGTTTTTTTTGATGGCGTGATGGAAGCGGCGTTCGGTTCAATGGTTAGTTTCTCTTACCCCCAGGAAATTCGGTAGCGGTACCTTAAATGTCGCGGCTTATGCAAACCCTGATTACGATTACCCCCAGGTTTCGGCACATAGGTTTCTATTACCCCCAGATTACTTGAGAAGTTGCTTCAAAAGTGTCTGGTGATGTGCAGAGCTTTGTGGTCAGCATCCTGTGTCTGCGATGACGTTTCTGTGGTCCCGCTGCCTGTGACGGAAAACTCAGACGCTAGTGGAAGCCGCGGCCAATCAGGCGGGGTAAGAACTAGGAGCGAGGAAGGAGGCGCTCAGCGACGACGATGCATCGGGGAGATTCGGTGCGTGTGGGATATATCCATTCATGTGTCAGAGTCTCTGTAGTCTCTCCCTCTCCTGAAGAAACTCCCAAGCTGACTCAAAATACTCTTTCTACATATTCCTACTTTTCGCGGATATCGCTCATTTCGACTTCTCCGGTTGCTGAACAGCTCGTGATGGTCTCAGCATACGATAACAGTCCACAAGAAATTGTCGCTCAAAGAACAGAACATGGAGAGCATAGAGACCGCCCACTGCACCCATGCTGACCAACTCCCCAAGAATACCGAATCTTGATAGGAAGCTGATACCGGGCCTCGTTTGCATCAGTGTAGGTATTACGACAGCAGGCGCGACAGCAGTGAGCGACGGTAATGTGTCTAGCACGCTGAAGCCAGAGCCGTTTCGCGCAAAGAATCTCTTGATGAACCAGGTGTTCCACACAATGCGCAACCCCATGTTGACCGTGTTTGCAAAGACTACACCGTTGCCTCCCATTTCGAGCTGCCCGATGAAGAACCACGCACTGCCTGCGAAGAGCACAAAAAAGATACCCATTGAGACTGATTGTGCATACAGCTCTTTGTTCGTAGCAACGGCAGCTACAAAGCCTTCTGTTACTCCGTTGATAGCCAGAAACGGTATGTAATAACAGTAAGTGGACAGAACTTTGGAGGCGGAAGTCGCAGACCATTTCTGACCCGCGACAATAGAGAGAAGTACAGGGGCCAGTACTGGCCCCAATGTGACTGCAAACAAAGAAATGATCCCATAGAGACGGAGAATAGTACTCAGTACTCTGGACGCTTGAGCAAGATTTTGCTTTTGCTCGTCCGACTTCTTGGATTCTCCCTTCTTCCCCGCTGCTTCCGATGACGCTGGTTTGGCACAGAGCTTGGCAAACATATTACGACTGCTTTCTTCGATGGGTTGAAAGAGCATGCGTGCAATAAGGCCGCCATAGTTTGATGCCAGCGCATATGCGCCTTGATCTGCCAGCGACGCCAATGTCGTAATCAACAGAGAGTCTCCTTGGGTGAGGACGTACTTCAGGGCCGACTGAAGGCTAAGAGATGCAGTAAGTCGCAGAAGAGGGGCAGAGAAGTAGTTCACCACGATTGGGTTCTCTTTGGTCGAGGATACTTTTTCTGGAAAGAGAGAAAAGCCGTCAGCCTTTGCCACGGGCCACGTCTTGTATGCATAGACAACGAGTAGCGCCAAAGCGTATGCTAGCTGTCCAATGGCGAATGGCAAGACTCCAATATCGAGGCCAGCTCGACTGGCCAACATGGCGGAGCCGCAAGTTCCGACGCAGCGCAACAGGGTGGCAGAACTCTCTGCTGACGCCCGCACTTTGTAGAGCAACTTCTGCTGTACAGCCGAAAACGCTGGCTCGCTCAAGAGTTCCAATAAGGTAGCCAGGCAGTACACAATTAGCGCATCCACAAAGTAAGGTACGCTTGGCGTATCGGATCGATGCCATAGTAGTGCCAGGAGATAGGCCAATGGCGTGCCCAGAAAGACGGCTAGGTAGGAGAGGTTGATGACGACCTGTGTTCCGTGGGCCTGTCGCTGCAGAGCCACCCGTAGACTTTCGCGTGCAAAGTAAAGCACCGAGATGGAAAACAGCTCCAGCTGGGCGGATACTCCGAGCAGTTCCGGTGACAGAAACCTCAACAAGACTTGATTGACGGCAAAGGTCAGTGCCCGTGAAGCCACCTGCAGGAGGATTAGAAAGGTGGCTCCTTTCGCGGAAGCGGAAAGTATCGAATTCGACATGGTAAGCGTCTGGGCCTGACGAATTCGACGCGGTTCTCCTGAAAGTGATGTAAGAGGTAGATCAAGAAGACATGTTGATTGGTTGTCTGGTCGGGGATGCGGTGTGGTAGACAAGTGTGGACTTCGAGACCTTGAAGTTCGACACGTCGGAGCTAGCGCCATTTGCTGCAAGGTACCTCGCACAGCTCAGCTCTGCCCCAGCTGGATGACACACGACACGAAGCCTGACTCTTAAGCTGACTTTTAATCAGCGCGCCACATAGAGGAAAATGGCGTTACTCTTGATCCTCACTCTGAAATCTGGTGGCGATGGTAGTGGTTGATCCCAAATTGTTCGCAAGGACCGAAAGGTTGCTGCTTAGGCCGTTGCGCCTCGACGACGCAGACGACGTACTCTTGATGCGCAGACATCCAGACTGTATGAAGCATACGTCATTACTCCCTTCAGACGATCTCGAGAGCGCGAGGTCATGGATCCAAGGCGTTTGTAGTCCCCCTTTTCACCCATATATACACTCTAATACTCTATAGTGCCATAACGTTGAGGGTAACTGGAACTTCGCCATCGAACTTCTCGAGCAACATGCTGGCCCCCGCGTAATCGGTCTCATAGGCGCTGTTCGTGCACCAGAAATCGGCTACATGTTCAATACCTCATATTGGGGATACGGGTACGCAACCGAGGCCCTGCGCGGGTTCATGCCGCTGTTCTTTGAGCATTACTCTGGTCGCAATATTGCAGACTTCGCGGGGCGACATTATGGAGAGGATATGAAGGGGGCGGGTACGAACAACAGGGCCACGGAGAACGGAAACACTGCTGAGGGTCCCTTGGCACCACGATACGACTACGCAGAGGCACATACGGATACGGAGTTGGTCTCTAGTCAGAACGTTTTGACAAAGGTTGGATTCAAGCTTCACGAGAAGAGGGACAAGGATTTTGAGAACCCGGTGCTTGGATTAAGGGACTCGTTGGTTTACAGGATGTATAGGCCTACAGGCGAAGGAGGGTCATAGGTTCAATGTGCAGCCTAGGTATCCGAGTCTGACGCGAGTCTTCGCGGTGCGGACCTCGTCATCTGCGCATTCCGCGCTACCACGGTATTTTACTCAATGAATGATCAAACCCATCCCCGGTCTTATCTTGAAATCGCTCGGCAATCTCATAAGCCTTAGCAGGTGATTCGATAATGCTCTTCCGCTTCTTCATCCTTTCCATGTCGCTATCGACGGATCCGCAGTCGCTGGGGGTAGTTATGATGTTGCTCAGCATCCTCTGCAACCTTGGATCATCCTCAATTTCAGGGCCAGCATCGTCGTGCTCTTGTCCCGCAAGGTCGGGGTCATCTGTTCGATGTGTAATATGCTTGCCAGTGTAGACACTCTCAAAATACCCACTTGCCCGCTTTGACTGTCCGGGGGTCTCGGTAATAGATGGGGATAGAGAGCTGCTGTCTTTTCGTCGCCAATTCGGCACCTTCCATGTACTGTGTCGTCGTAGCGGGGGGCTCGGGGTCTTGGGGACATTATAAAAGTAATCTTGGACGGCGATGAGATCGCCTCGTCCACACGCTCGCACCTCAGCATGCATAGGGGATTCTTGATGCAAGCTCACACTCGGCGTGACAGATGTGCGTCTGATCCGGGGAATTTGAAAAGGGTAATCGAGAGGACTGCCGATCGAAGGATCTGAGCCGTGGCGTATGAAGTTGTGGGGGCTCTGCACTGGTGCCTCTTCTTCCACTGCAATGCGTGGTGCAGATTGGGTATGACGAAGGCGATGTGCAGACGGTATACGCTGTACGGGCTGTGAAGTAACGTCTTGATGAGAAGATCGGCGGTCTGCGGCATGCTTATATTCCGGATGTAGCTGCTTTGGTCGATTCGGCTTCGAGGTTCGGCTTAGAAACATGGTGTTGTGCTTTCGCCGATAGTTTTTAGGTATTGCTGCCTGGCAGACCAACCTTGAGAAGAATCCATGTTCAGATGACGAGTCGGAACTTGATCTTGATCGTGACGACCGCTTTTCCCGTGAGAACGGAGGTGGCCCGTCGGTCCATCCGCTACCTGTGAACTGTGGAACATACTCACTGCTGTTCCGCAATTTGCGTCTGCGGCTGACATGCTCTGCCAGCCTCTCTTCAATCGATGGCCCTACATATAGTCCAGGCCACGAGGCCGCCTCAGAAGGTGGACGAGCCTGGTGGCCAGCGGCTGGGGAATGACGATGTCGAGAGTTTGAGCGCAGAGCCGTGATCACTACTGTTTCCTTGCGCTGCTGGAAAATGGGGATGTGGTTTGCGCTTGTGGCCGGTAGCACAGTATAACAAGCCGCTAGCAGCTGTAAAGCGATGGCTTGAAGAAGGGCTTCGAAGTCAGTGCCGTTGTTTGAGAAGGTAGTTGTACAAGATTTTCTATCCTCCAATTGTCTGAGGAGTTGGCTCGCAGTGGGGAGTGCCTGAAAACGTCAGAAGTCACGTAGACAGATTGGTCAGCCAGTTCATAGAGCTCACCCGACGATGCTGTCGTGTTCTGGGTGTCCAAAATTCATCGCAAGTTTGCGATTGTTGCCAAAATGCTACTTCTCTCATTATGATAGCCTCTGTTCTTGTGAATTTGGCGCTGTCTTCGTGTGAATTCTGTGCATGATCTCCTCCGAGGCGTGTCTCGTACTCAACGTCTTTGCCAGATAGGTGGTATAGGTAAGGTGAGTATGCACTGGAACTATCCAAGTCTTGTTCGGGCATAGTTTTATCTCTTGAAATGTCTGGACGTCGCCGCATCAAGCAGACAATGAAGCGTACTTTAGGATTAATGCATGTTGAATAGGATAGCAGGACAGCGAGAAAACGAACGAGTGTCTCCAGTCTGTGACATTAGGATAGTCAGGGTGCAAGCTCGTAGCAGCAGTTCTCATCACTCGGATCTAACGTAACAGGTAACCTCGATTCGCGGATGAGGAAAGTGCGAGCTGTAGGTAAACCCTCGTGCACTCCAGTTCCACAACCATTCGGTACCTAACACGACACCGGTGGCCTTTCCCAAAAACCACACCCACTCATTGAGGTACGTCATAAGGGGAAGCCGCTTCTTCCTTCTTATGAGCCTGCAAGATTTAGTTAGGATAAATTCGTAGGCGTTGCCTCGTTCGAATAATACCTTTCACTGGCAGGCTCTTGCATGAAGTGTCCTTTTGCCCATAGTGAGCGCAATACTTGGCGCCTTCATTATCGTATTGCTCCTGCCTATGCAGTTCAAGTGCCACCCATAACAGTATCACCACGTGATTGTGCCGAGGTGCGGTTTGTAGTATCTACCCTTTCGGCCACCAAACGGGAACCTTCAGATATTTTTGTGATGACCAAGCGCGCCTTTTCTCCTTTCTTCGCTTTTGCCTCGTTCAACCTCGCAAGGAAGCTGGGCAGAGCTGGTTTAACTTCTCCGCTACTAGAATGTTGTTCTCCGGCCAAGTTGGAATTCTGTGCGGGAGAAGTTTGAGTGTCGCCTTGAGCTGGCATGGACCCCGTTGGTTGTTGCGCATCACCAGTACTGTCGAAGAGATCATCGCGCGGGCGCAGCCTTCCAACCTTTGCAACCAACTTTGCAGAGCCCAGAGACAGCAAATCTACGGAAGGCAAGGATCGCAGCGGTTGGGACTGATTCGCATCAGGCTTCACGAAGAACATGTCGGTTCCAATAGTCGAAGTCCAATGGCAACTTAGCAACTGACCGTTGTACATAACCAGAGGGTTAGGCGTATGCAGACCTACTACCTGTACCTCGCCCATAGTAGCCGTCTCTTGCCCGTTGGTGGTATCAGCAGCGATAACGGCTGGTTGAGCTCGAGCCGCATTCAGCGCACGCAGTCGGCTCTTTAGCAAAGTCGGGTGGCCCGGTCTACCTTGCGAGACCATGGGAATTTGCGCGGCGGGAACATTAGATAAATCGAGTGGAATGTAAAAGTCTTCCGTCTCGTTCTCGTCGTACTCGTACTCCCAATCGTCATCTTCTTGGTCGGCCATGCTTGCAGTTGCGGAGTTGCAGGGTGTGGCCGCGAACTTCAAAGGATTCAATATGGTGGGGCTAGTTTCGATTAATGGAGCGGTGTCGAATGTCGGTAAAGCTGACTGAAAAGTTGGAAGCGACCCCACTTACTGCACAGATCCGCAAGAAGGTGAGATTATAAGATAATACATGGCAAAATTTTTCATCAAAGTATCAAGCACGGCCCTTGGGTCGTACAGCTCCGCTTGGTGTAGTTGGTGTACGTACAAACCTTCTCCCACTACCCTTAATTCATCATCTAACATTCCACTAGTTATCACGTTCGACTGTAATAGCAATTGTTATCGAAAGGTCCCTAGTTCGATTCTGGGAGCGGAGAAAACCATTCTTTTTTTGCGATGTTAGCAGTCTGAAGATTGACAGTTCTCTCATGGTTCTTTCATGTTGGACTGACCGGCATATCTTTTTGCACCCCCAATCGGAAGAAAAGAATACTGCCCCCATACCAAAGCTTACCATTCACACACTGCCACGTTAATACGATCTGCGACAAGCTCTTGGGTAGGTGCTAGTGGTCTATCATAAAATGCTACATCCGTATATGATTGAGATGGCAGTCTGGCGATAGCTAGGCCCGCGCGATAAGCTGCAAACCACACCTCTCAGAAAGCAAACATACCGCAACTGGATCATTGCATGCAGCCACATCCAGGCCCACTGTACAAGCTTCTCCCCATATTGTGGCTATCGATAGGCTCGCAGCCCGTGCCTGGAGCCACGTTCATGGAGAGCCGCATTGCTACCGAGGTCCCCGCATCGGCCCCTGCTTAGGGTGAACGACGTATGCCCAGCTTGGAGCTGTCTGTCATGCCTCAAACATCAATACGCACCACCTACAATCACATCTTCCTACATGCGTTGTTCATCCACCTCCTTAATCGCACCCCTCTACTAAGCATTGTGTGTCTTGGGAGCCCAGGTTCGGCGCCAATCGGGAACTCATTTTGAATCAGTAAGTGCACTTCCGCGCATGTCCGGCCGCATTATGCCAGTCAAGTCATCATGGGATATCGTCATACTCGTGTTTATCCCCTTTTTCGGACACGCGATTAGCCCAATCCCAAGATATATGGGCCTCGTAACGGACGTCCTGGTGTTGATCAGTGCGGACTTTTCCTGCGCCTGCCAACCGTCAACCCGCATACCCAGCCTTCCGGCAGTATCGGCTACCGGTCCTTCCCTTCCCACAGCGTATCACAAGACCCTGCGCTTTGACGTTGCGTTTCCCGTTGAAGAATGTAATCCATGCTGACTAGTCAGTGCCAATCGTACCCTCCCTCCACCATGGCGGAGGCCAGGCTCCGCTTCAGGCGTTCCTGCCGTCACCGCTCCCTTCGTCATCTTTACCTCGAGTGGACATTACCGATTATCCTCCGATAGCCATCTACTCAACCAACACTGTCGTCGAACCTTCGGACGCTGCGCGGGACGCCTCCGACCGATATATTATACCTACCATCGATACCCCCGAGGAACATTCGTCACAAGACCAGTCGTTTGCGCAATCTCCCACCGCTGTAGCCGGAATTGTGGACTCACCGTCCGAGCAAGATAAAGACATGAAGAGCAGAAAACCTGCAATGACCGCTGTCGGTACCTTGTTTGGGCTCTTTACGTTCTCTCAAGTATACCAGGACCTCTTGTTTGATTACTTGACACCTCCGGGTGAAGAACGGGCAGAGGAAAGAGCATGGGTGGCGTCCTCGCGATCATGGCTGGATCGCAAGGCTTGTAGATGGTTTGGGATATGTGGCCTGTCGCATTTGAACAAGGACAACTGGACCACCCAGAACTTGGATGGCTACGGATATCAACAGGTTGATACCGGACATGGCGCCCATCCCGACCTGAAAGATTTCTGGCACGATGCGAGGACAATACCCGAGGATTATAAGCCAATGGATGAGCGCGAGATACCACAATACGTTATAGATCATGCGCCATTGATACATCTCTACTCGGGTGAAGAATACTGGCCCGGTGACATGGGAGAGCATTTGATACACACAACACCACATCTAAACTATACGCCCATGCAAGCGACGAGTAACCATCCAAACATTAGCAATCTCGGCGAGCTTAACAAGTGGGGAAGATTCGTATACCTGCAGAGCGACGACAACGTTGAGGATCGTCCGGCTTGGTTGGGTGCGGACTACAACATTCCTACCGCACCAAACGACGACGATGACGACGATGAGTGGCAACATGGAGACGGGCCGAATGGTCGCATCAAACAAGACAAAAACGCTAAAAAGTATAGCTGGTGGCACGTAGGTTTGGGTGACACCAAGGACCGCGGTGGAATTCGACCGGATCCCACATCATCTGGTCTTCCCATTCCAACCAAGACGCCCGAAGGTGAAGAGCTTGTTGATGACGACAGCGAATGGCGATCCGAACTACGCTTCAGCCGAAGGAAATATACTGGGAAGAAAGTTGTAGGCGGACGAAGCGACGCGCCTGTACCATTGGTCGTCGTGGATAAGGGTGACGGGGTAGTGGACGCGTTCTGGTTCTTCTTCTACAGCTACAACCTTGGCAACGCAGTCTTCAATGTGCGTTTTGGCAATCATGTTGGAGACTGGGAACACACTGTTGTTAGATTCCAGCATGGCAAGCCTAAAGCGGTGTTTTTCAGTGAACACAGCTTCGGTGAAGCATACGCTTGGGACGCTGTAGAGAAGAGTGGGCAGAGGGTAAGTTGGTACCTGTCAAAACAATCAGTTACGTATTAACGTTTCCAGCCTATCGGTTTCTCTGCTACCGGAACCCACGCCATGTACGCCACTGCAGGCTTACATCCATACGTATTGCCTGGTGGCATCCTGCATGATGTCACAGACCGTGGTCCTCTCTGGGACCCGGTCATGAACATGTACTCGTACAAATACGATTACCAACACGACAAGTTGGTTCCTTCCAATCTAAACCCTGTCGCACCCGTGTCATGGTTCTACTTTGCCGGCCACTGGGGCGACAAGTTCTACCCACTCAGCGACCCCCGACAATATCGTTTCCTGGGCCAGTATCATTACGTCAATGGGCCGCTCGGTCCTCGTTTCAAGAATTTGGGACGACAAGAAATTTGCCAAGGCAATGGCGAGTGTGTGCTCAAGGGACGGCCTGAAGAGAGGTCCAGCATTATGAAGAGATGGGTGAACGTTGGCGAGGGCGAGGAGATGAGCGAGGAAGATGCCAAACGGGTGTTTGGTGCAGAATACGATTCCGCGTCTTGATGATAGGAAACACGGGAATATGATATCACGGATTGCGACGTTTTATTTCACCTGCTGTACGGCTGCACGGCGTTTTGTTGCATTGATACTGTACCAAGATTGCGTCCTTTCGAGATACCTATGTAGCATTTTGCTTGTATGTTGTTGTTATTTTCTCAAGACTCGCTCCTATGCTCCAGTGACGACACGGATAGGAGACGGTGAGCACCCAAATGACTAACGTGTCGTCATGTTTGAGTCAAGTCGGAAATTTGCAAAATTTGCGTCTGCAACTTTGTGTCATCTTCAAAGGTACATTCACAGGTACTGCCGCCTTGGGCAAGTCAAGCGGGCGACAGTCGCCGAAAGGGGAGCGATGTTCGGCATGGAGAAGGCTCGGAATAGCTGACGTCAAAAGAACCCTTCTCGCTGGATTCTCGGACGACAACAAGCAAACAAGAGGCGACAGCAAAAGAACAGTTCAGGGGCACAATTGAGGGTGGAGATGAGACAGATATTGCATTTTCTACGTAAGCCGCGCTCGGGAAGCTTTTCGTGACTGCCAGCTGGCTCGTATCCGGACTGCATACACAATCTATGCTACGCCAGGTTGGCGGTGATTGCCAGCTAGCTCAGATTACGCCTTGCCGTATGTAGTCTGACGGGCCATGGCATGAGGTATGGCGTAAGAAGCAGGTGAGGGTGCGCGTGCGATGTGCGCAATTGCGTGACTTGTTTCAAGGAAGATTCCGGGCCGCGACGATGATTCCGGTGCAGGAAAAAGAAGGTTCAGGCGCTTTTTCGGATCTTCCACAGGAAAGACTCTTTTTGAGTGAGTAATTGACGGCTCATCTCGTCATCGCTTGGAAGATCACAGTCTCCGGGTCGGGCATTGGGTGGTGGTAGGCCGCCTCAGAGGATGAGCGCCGCGGGGGTGCTTAGTGTGCGTCCCTATCTTATCAGGGCACCTGCGGCCTTACATGGCATGCATGGTGGCATGGTCCCCTCCATGTGGTGCAGATAACCCCCAGCGACACGCATGTAAACCTCACGCGTCTTACCTACATAACCTGCAAACCTTCAGCTGTCCCCCAGACACTTTTACACCGCTGTATACGTGTACCCTTTGATAGATCGCCCGCAGCTTTTGTTTTCCCGATATCGCGCCTGATCAGCCGCCACCTGCAGTAGACGGCCTGTTTTTGTCTAGCGCGTGTTAGCGACATCTGTACATCATACACCTGCCCTTCCCCTCTCTCGTCTCTAGGGAGCGGTAAACATTCACGGGGCATGAGGCCAGCGAGACGATAAGCACGCTGCCGCCGCCACCGCGACGCGCTCGAATCATCCTATCATCTTTTCCAGACATTCGCCTCCCCGCAGCGCATACGACAGTTTGTACCCGTGTGACGTGCTCATTACACCGCACCACACCTCGACTGCCACACCATGGCTTTTATACAGCAACATAGGCCGCAGGGCGGACGACAGATATCCTACAATGCTCCGGACGCCACTGCCGAAGCTACAACTACCGCACCTCAAATTCAGAGACCCCTTGAGCAATCGGAGGAATGGGTTCTCTTCTCCCCGAACGCCCCTTCCGTAACCACACGCACGCATACCACCTCGACCGACCGAACCCCGCGAACAGCTGGTCTGTCGCGATTCAGCGAGTTTGGCTCCTTAGAGACTGCGGCGCGGTCTGACCATGACGACGATGTCGGCACATTTCTTGGTACAGAGGAGGAGCTCGACAGCTTGGATGAGGGCTTACATGCTTTTCATGAGCCATCCGAGTTTGGTGTTCCAGTAGGCAGGGTCCAGCAAAGTGCCGATACGGTATTACCAACCCACGACGGACTGGGCGAGTTCGAGCCAGACGCGACAATGCAGCAGCACATGTGGCAGTTTGAGCGCCGAAGACGAGCACCGAGACGCCGATCCAGTGTACAGCGACATCTCACTATACTGGAAGATGCCGAGGGGATAAGCACAGAGGAGGAGAAGCGAATGCGCGTCGAGAGATGGCGGTTAGAACAGAGCAAGGCGCTGTTGGAAGAGATTGAGAAGGAAACCAGGAGGAGACGGCGCATGAGCATGGTCAGCAACGGACGAAGTCGAGTGGATAATGCACAGCAAGCGTCCACAAGAACGTTGCCAACAGTGGCCCAATCTGTGTTGAGTGCGCAAAGCGACTCGTCCGATGAAGGCACAGAGAACATGTCCTTCTGGCAACGTATAACAAGACGGGTGATTCGGGATCTTATCGGTCTAGACGACGACACTCTGTCAGTCATATTCGGAGAGTCGCTACCAGACGAAGCTGTCACACCCACACCAGGCACGCCCGCCGAGTACTCTACCGACAGGGCCCTGCAAGAGGCGGGTGTTGATGCGTCTCAACTCTCCGATGACACATGGCAGACAAAGCTGCTCGAGAGGGTCGCACAAGAACTCGGGACCCTGGTCAACCAGCTCTCTGAACACCCTGGAGCCTTCTCTACCTACCAACGTACACAAGCAGTGCCGGACTACGCAGGTCTTACGACCGTCAAGTCAAACACAACCCTCGCATCTGACCCACTTTCCACGCGACCGTCAAGCTCGCAACCCACGACATCACCGGCATCTGCGCAATTCGCACCCACCTTCCCCGTCCAAGCCTCAAACACCTACAGCGAAGCCTCCCTCTGGGGCATCGAAGAGGAGCCCACCGAAGCCCCAACCCCCACACCCGACACCTCCATCGCCGACGACCTTGCCCGCGAACGCGAATACTGGGAGCGCGAACTCGACGTCAAAATGATCTTCAACTTCCTCATGAAACGCTTCTCCTCGTCGCGCCGCCCCAGCATTTCCTCCTCCTCATCCCTCCCACCACGAGCCCAACCACAATCAAAAGCCCAAACAGCACCAGTACCCTCTTCCCAGGCCACCAGCAACGAAGACAACCACAGCTCCGCTCGCAGAGCAGCCATCATCCGCCAGAACCACCCTTTGGTAAACCGGACGTCGTCAAGTAACAGACTCCCCACGTCGTCCGCGCTACTATCATCTTCTCACCAAAGGGAGTCTAGGCGCTATGCTGCTTACTACACACCACCACCACCAGCTGTCGGGTTAGGTGCCAAGGCGGCCAAGCTGCGTAGTAGTAGTAGTTGTGCTAGTCAGAGTACCAAGAAGAGTAAGAGGAGTGGGGGGTCGAGGGGGAATTATTGGGATTTGGGGGGTAGTGTGGGGAGTGGGAGTGTGGTGGGTGAGGTTTAAGGAGGGGATGAGTTTTGAATAACGGTAAAGGGGTGCATGGCATGGATTAGAATTTATCTCTCTCACCTTTGGCATCAAATCATCATCATCGTCGTCATCATGAATGACTCTCATAGTCAGTACCAGCGTTGCTATTTTAGTAGAATTTCCGCTTCGCATCTTTGTAATAGTAGAATAATTCTCCTAGTCTATACAGAAATACACATACGCACACATGCACACACATTCTATATCTCAGATCATCATCACCATCACGTGAGGAAACACATAAGGCATGCTCAATACATGGACAAAGAGTGAGCGGGTTTATCATGACCAAGTTTAAGCTTCGCTGTGCTTGTCTGGCAAGAGTACAATCGTCACATCACATCACGTCACATCACATCACATCACAACAGCAAGAACAAGACCAGTCAACATGGTTTGATAAACCCCACCCCGCAAAACGAGGCTCTTGATTCACATTCCCATCTCAACCCTGCGCGCAAGCCGCCATCTTCCACGACGCAAGCTCTATCAAAGACAACGTGCGAAAACGCAGATACGTGTTGATACCGTACTGCAGTACTCACCAGACATTGGTGGTGTGTGTGTGTGTGTGTTGAAAAACGCTTTCTCTCTCCATCTATGCTCAGAACCGACAGTGGGACTGCGCACCCGCTCTATAACGTGTTTCTCAGTGTATATGTTTAAAAAAAAAAGAGGAAACTTTTTGTGTTGAGGAAAGCAAACAACGGGCTGGTATCATTTGGGTATAAGAGAATGCCCTGGACGCCGATAAACACTTGTTGAAAAGGTCATTGTTACCCGCCCTCCTCGTCGTCCAGAAGATTATGCAAAAATCCTTGGTCTCGTCGTCGCAAGTAGTGGACGACGGTGATGATGATAAATGTCGTTGAATCATCGTGATTGGTGTGTTGTGTGAAAGAAAAATAGCCCCCGTGAAGTGTGCAAAGGGATGAAGTTGATTCAACCCCTACGCGTTCTTATATGCAAAACAATGGCATTAGGAGAGAAGGAAGAGGGAAATTAGAAGGTGAGTTCCTTGGGCTTCTCCCAGGTGAAGTCCTGGTTGGTGAAGTGACCGTTCTTAGCGGTCTGGAAGTAGATTGGGTTGATGAGGTTGAGCTCCTTGACGATGACACCGGGGCGGAGGTCGAAGTTGTTCTTGACAATCTCGACGAGCTCGTCAGAAGAGCGCTCAGAGGTGCCGTAGGTCTCAACGAAGAGGGAGAGGGGCTCGGCGACACCGATGGCGTAGGACAGCTGGACGAGTGCGCGACGGGCCAACTTGGCGTTGACGAGCGACTTGGCGATCCAGCGCGCAAGGTACGCAGCCGAGCGGTCGACCTTGGAGTAGTCCTTGCCGGAGAAAGCACCACCACCATGGGCTCCCCAGCCACCGTAGGTGTCGACGATGATCTTACGGCCAGTAAGACCGGCGTCACCCTGAGGTCCACCGATGATGAAGAGACCAGAGGGCTGGATGTGGTAGACGGTCTTGTCGTCAAGCATCTTGGCAGGGATGACCTTCTTGATGATCTTCTCCTTGATCTCACTGCGGAGCTCCTCGGTGGTAATGTCCTCGCTGTGCTGGGCAGAGACGACGACAGTGTCGACACGAAGAGGAATGACGGCACCGCCATCGTGAGCGTACTCAACGGTGACCTGAGTCTTAGTGTCAGGTCGGAGCCATGGGAGAGAGCCGTCCTTGCGGGCAGCGGTCATGGCCGAGTTGAGCTTGTGGGAGAGAAGGACAGTCAGAGGAAGGAGCTCAGGGGTCTCGTCGGTGGCATAGCCGAACATGATACCCTGATCACCAGCACCGAGCTTCTCAAGAGCCTCCTCGTAGTGGAGACCCTGGGCAATGTCGGGCGACTGCTGCTCAATGGCGACGAGGACGTTGCATGTCTTGTAGTCAAAGCCCTTCTCCGAAGAGTCGTAGCCAATGTCCTTGATGGCGCCACGGACGATCTTCTGGTAGTCGAGGTGTGCCTTTGTGGTGATCTCGCCGAAGACCATAATCATACCGGTCTTAGCGGCAGTCTCGCAAGCAACCTTGGAGAGCGGGTCCTCCTTGAGGCAGGCATCGAGGATGGGGTCTGAAACCTGATTCACTGCTTTACAATCAGCCCATGTTCAAGGCGGTGTCTAACGTACCCTCTTAGGCGAGGGTGGGGGCGCCATTTTCTTGGGGCCGAACTGACATGGGCAATCTCTTATCGCTCACAGAACGAGGGAGATTGCCAGCAATTGAGGAAACATGGAGGCGTCTACATACCAGATCTTGTCGGGGTGGCCTTCGCCGACCGACTCAGAGGTGAAGAGAAAGGTGCTCTGAACAATAGTTAGACCAGGAATGGGGAGAAAGCGCGATTGCAGAGCCTACCTTTCCGTTGCCGTTGGGGACAGTCATTTTGGCGGATTGTGAGGGGGAGAAGCGACTCTAGGTGCTAGTGTAGGACTTGCGACCGCGTTTATTTAAACGGAAGAAAGAAGAAGGAAGAAAGAGGGTGTGTTGAGGAAAGGGAGGGGTCGAGGGGCAGTGAGTGGATTTATGCAGCAGCGAGGAACTGGCGTCTCTCACAAATTGCCGAAAAAACGTGCACGACCATAGCAACTCCGGCCTTACGCACTAGCACGCCATTGATACCCCGAACGCTTCAGGTGTACCCTCTTTGTACCGCTCCAATCGCGCTCCCTCCCCACATGGCCCTGACCGCTCTCGGCCTGACCGGCAGAAAAGTGTCCCGCTACCACGGCTGTCAAGACATTTTGCGCTGCTGAGCGACGCGCGCCATTTAATCTAAGAGTTTCACCGCGACTATGAGTAAATATGGTACCCTGGTCATGGTATGATACACGTGTTTATATGTTGTAGTTTCAGACGCTGACCGTACCAGGGCCCAGCCGGCGCAGGCAAGTCGACCTTTTGCACCGCCCTCATCCAGCACCTGCAGAACAGCAAGCGTCCATGTTTCTACGTAAACCTCGACCCGGCCGCCGAAGAGTTCGCTTTCGAGCCTGATCTCGACATCAAGGACCTCATCAGTCTTGAAGATGTCATGGAAGAGATGAGCCTGGGGCCCAACGGCGGCCTAATCTACTGCTTCGAGTTCCTCATGGAGAACCTTGACTTTTTGACCGATCCGCTCGAAGAGGTCACGGAAGAATACCTGATCGTCTTTGATATGCCCGGCCAGATCGAGCTGTATACTCACGTGCCTATACTGCCAGGTCTGGTCAAGCACCTCATGACGGGCTCGCTGAACATCCGCATGTGCGCCGCATACCTCCTCGAAGCCACCTTCGTCATCGACCGCCCCAAGTTCTTCTCGGGTACCCTATCCGCCATGAGCGCCATGATGATGCTGGAGATGCCGCACATCAACATACTGAGCAAGATGGATCTTGTTAAGGGACAAATCGCAAAGCGCGACCTCAAGCGCTTTGTTGACGTAGACGCAGAGCTCATCGAGGATGACCCTGCGCGCAAGAAGAACACGCCCGAAGAAGAGCGCAAATACAGGGATCCTACTTCGACAGAGAGCCTGATGAGCGGGTCCTCTTTCCACAAGCTGAACAAGGCAGTTGCCGAGCTCATCGACGGCTTCAGCATGGTATCGTTCCTCAAGTTGGACGTGCAGGACGAGGATAGCTTGGGCGCAGTGCTGAGCTACATCGACGATGCCATCCAATTCCACGAATCGCAGGAACCGAAGGAGCCCAAGGAGTTTGACGTTGACATCGAATCATGAGCTCTTCGTGGTACAAGCACTTGCATTGTTGGCGTTTTGGTTCTGGGCATGATGACTGCATCTTGGGCGTTTTGCGCCAGTCATGATCTTACGAGGGGAAATGGAGGGTGCCGTTGTGCATCGGGAAAGGAATTACGATACCCAATATGAATATACTACATCATGACAGCATGCGGAGAGATTTTGGTACACACGTACATGAAACTAGTGCCTAAGCATTTTGAAGGGAACAGAACACATACATGTGCCTTTTGGTCATCCCAAGAAACAGACGCTCGAGCCACCAGCCTGTGAATATAAAAGCCGTCTCTTGGACTCTTTCTCCCTTTCTCCAATCACATCCAAATCACTCACTTACTAAAAGGACTGGTCACAATCTACATGTTCCTTCTCTCCGCCTTTTTCGTGTTGAAAATTACCAAAAATTATGGACCAGTACTGGGATGCTCTTCTGGTGCCCTTTTCCAACCCTAAAATTCTTTACTAAGATCTCTCTAAAATAGAAAGTTAAAACGATCTGATCGATGTTCTGTCCAGCGAGGCTGTGGGTTGTGCGGCAGGGCAGTGGTATAAAATCCCCGCACTCTTCTCCTCTTTCTCTCCTCTACAAACTTCTGCATTTACTCTTTTAAAGTTTTCAGCTCTGCAGTTGATGTTCTTTCCTCTATTTTCTCAAAATTTCCCCTACATTCGGGCAATGTGTTCTCTCTCTTTTTTCTAAAAAGATATAAAGTATGGGGTATGTTTATTGAAATGCAGTGGATGGAAGAGGATGTTTGTTCTCCTTGCTCTTTTTCTCCTAAAAGCCACTACGAAGGTTGCTATGTTTGTAAACAGTACCGCACAATCCTAAGTATGTCCTGTCTTTCTTCTTTCTTTTCTGAAATAGCCTACAGAAGGCTCGATGTTTTCCAAAACTTCAAACCGATATGGGGATGTCCTGTCTTTCTCCTATTTTGTTTAAATTCTACAGAAACGAACGGATGCTTCCTACAAAGATTCCGCTGGCTGAAAAAAATGTTTTGTCGTCCTCTCCTTTCAAAAAAACGAAATGGGAGTAATGTAGTTTCCCAAACGTCTGTTACGCACAACGCATGTCCTGTCTTTCTCCTCTCTTTTCTTAAAATCTTCACCCTCACTTTGCCATCTTCTAAAAGTAAACAACTACACCTGCATGTCCCGCCTTTTTCCTCTCTTCTAAATTACAACGCGAGCCAGTCCATGTTTCCTAAAAAACAGAGTAGATAAAGCATTTCCTGTCTTTCCACCCTCTTTCAAAAGCTACTTTACAGCATCACATATTTTCTAAAAGGCCACTCGCAACTTCACTTGTCCTGTCTCTACCTCTCGTCCAAAAATGAACCTCTACCAGAGTATGTCTTCTAAAATCACCGCAAAACATATAAATACCCCGCCCTCTCCCTCCTCTTCTCTTCTTTCCTTTCTTTTCCAAACCCATTACCAAAACATTGCGGGGGGATGGCGCAGTGGTAGTGCGCCTGGTTGCTTCTGCTAGCTTGCTCGCAGAGGTTGAAGGTTCGAATCCTTCTCCCCTCACCGCTATAATAATTCTATTATTCTAGCTTTACCAAAAAACATCGAACGGCTCCTTTCGAAACCTGGAAAGTTTTTCACCAATACCCCGCACGCTTAACGCTAGCCGCCGCCGTACAACCGAGCCACAAAGTACCGCCGAGACGAAAATATGCCGCAACTGCCGCTATATACAACAAACGTTCAAGGTCCCATGACTTTTTCCCCTACGAGGTTTTTTTCAGTCTTAGGAGCACGGGGTTATTATAGCAAAGGGATTGGTCACAAAGGTGGAGATAAACGGGTGTCTATTACAAGGTCTCTCTCTCTTTCCTGTATAGAAGCAAAAAACCCAAACCCCCATAGTCAAACTCGACCAAAGAAACGAAATCCTACGGGTATAGAGGGAAAAAACTAGTCAAACGGCCCTAGGCCACCGTCCTACATAGTCTCTGACTGAAAAAGGACGTTAATGGATACTACTACTACTACTACTACCAAAACATTGCATGTTTTCCAAAACTCATCGAACTTCGGTTCATGTCCTTTCTTCCCCTCTCTTCAAACACTTTTGAGTACTGGCAATTTCTTCTGAACTCACGCAAACCATAAATACTCCGCCCTC